CTTGATCATGTTCTGTATATGTTTGAACAGTTGATTTAAAAAAGCAAGGGGGGAAACAAATAAAACTCTGAGGAGAATAATTACATAACTTTCAAACATTTAAACAAAAATGTATGTACAGGAACACAGATCTACTGTATTCATCGTATTTCAAATATGTATAAAAATTCTTGAACATTTATATATTTCTTTTAGCTTGTACAAAAACATCTCTCTCTCTCTCTCTCTCACTCTCTCTCTCTCTCTCTCTCTCTCTCTCTCTCTCTCTCTCTTGACATGAGAACAATGTGGATTTTGCTTTCAAAGAAATTCGGCATAAATTAATGCAAATGGCATCATGAGACTAATAACTGGTGAACATTTGGGAAACCTAAAACCTCAATGCGCTGCTTTACACATCCACTGTCCTGCACGGTACATGCATTAGACATAACAGCAACGGAACTGGTCGGAAGTTGTACTTAACTGACATAGCATCAAGAGTCTAATCAGTACTGACCCAATAGACTATTCAAATGTAATGCTCAAATCTTTGTAAAGAGCCTCGTTGCAAATTATTTCATTCACCTGTTACAAATAATGTGTTGATAGGTAGAGCAAGGTATGTTTGTCCTACCTAGCAACAATTAATGTATAGAGTTTGCATTCTTAATTTTGAAATACAGTCAAACCTGCTTTAGTGACCACCTGTCTACAAAGACCACATTTGTTGTTTCCCTTGAAAATGGTTTCTCATTGATACATCTACTAAAGGAACCTGTCTACGAAGACAACCTTTTGTGTTTCCCTTGGGCGGTCGCTATAGACAGGTTTGACTGTACAATTATTCATAAAAGGTGAATTAAATAATTTGTTAAGAGGCACTTAAGAAAGATTTGTGCATCAAATTAGATTACATTACGAAAATAGTCCATTACAATTACATTAAAGGTAAAGACCAGTATTGGAAACGCCCCAATTTCAAAAAATAAAATGTAAGCTCTTATTACCAATCATGGGAAAGAATATGTTTTGAATAATACATGATGATAAAAATGAAACCGGGAAACCGCCTACTAATTGATATTTTTGGTAAATTAGTGTATCTCTCGCCTGTTGAGAGATACAAATGCATGTGTCGTGCACGTGTGTGTAGTCCCATATACATCTTTCTGTGTACAGTGATTCTAACTTCATGAAGACTTGGCCAAATTTCTTATCATTTTGATGATTCCAGAACCTTGCAGTACATCTATGCTAGATGATCAACCTTTTCTGATCGATTTCAAAATGTTTCTTTCACAATGCAATCGCATGACCATAACTGGTCTTTACCTTTAAAGCAATCATACTTTAATCAACATAACGTAATTTGTGGAACTAACAATTCCACAACTGATATGCATGCATTCTCCTGTACAGGAATAATCTGATTAAAGGTAGAGATATCATGCTTCAAATATATTAGTCTATGTATGAAACAAAGCTTATTGATATAGTCCAAGCGTAAATGTATAGTATCTATTGGTATAAATCGCTCTGTGAGCATTTGAAAGATACTAATTTAGAACTTCCCTCAACACAAAAGGGCTTGAAGATGTCTTTCAGCGGGAAAATAACGACAGTTGTCTTATCAAATTTAGCAAGCGCGCTCGTTTAATTAAAAGGTCTTGGCGTTTTGTGCTACGCAAAGATTCAATCAATTTAATTTTGGCTATTACAAGAAGTGGGTTATTGATGTAGACAAATGCTCATGTAACCGTTCACTTTATGTATGTTACTACCAAGAACAAAAGAAGTCACTCGATAGTGTCTGACGGTGAAGTCTAGAAAGAAAACAGGTTTCCTTGCATAATTTGAATTTCACAGATAAGACATACGCGACATATTCATAATTCCTGCAAAGTTCTACAGAATTTGATGTTGGCTGCAAAAGGGATACACTACCTTTAAACTGTGAAAGAATGGAAATTACACAAATAAATCGTTTTTCAATTTGAGGAGGAAAAAGCTCAAGCATAAGACATTATGCAAATTATGAACTGTGATGGGTTACCTTGTTAATCTTAGGAAATGAATTACTACAATATCCCTCCAAACCATTAGCCATCTTTGTATTGTACAGTATGTCCCAGAAAAAACGAAACCTCAAATCTTTCCTCTTCTGCGTTCATGGCCGATTGTCAACAAAACAGAGCTAAGTCTTCTGTCAACTCTGTTTGTTGCTAGGCAGGCAGCCAGTGAAAACGAGTTCTTTTAATGAAATTATGGAAATGCAAGCATTGAACAAACAGAACTTTGTTATTCCTGGCTCATTTTTCCTGATTGAGGTGTCATATGAAAAGGTAGAAAATGAACTTTCTAGAAATGTGATTTTCTCTTTGAAATTCAGATACCACCCGCCAAATGACTTTTGGTACCCTCTCTTCAAATTGTTTTTAATCACTCATGCGTGAAATATGCATCAAATGAAAGAGGAGGATCTAAGATTTACAAATATGTGTCATTTATTAATTATAATTGTGATTAGGTTATGATAAAACATCAATAGTTCTCGGTTTCGCTTTTTCTGGGACGCACTGTATAGTGATCAAAAAATTGCTTGTAACATTATCTTTCCACATGTTCTTATGGATTCTCTTTCAATCAATGCCCACTCCAAATCTCAAAGAATCTGTTTCTTAAAACATTTAACTGCACCTCATGTCAACTTAATGAAGAGTCAATAATGCATTGGCACATAATGTGACGTTAGTTGCTTAATAAATAAGCTATTTCAAAATAACACGGGCAGAAATGCAAGCAAACACAGAAACACTGTATCAAAATGTACTCTGTACAAATCCATTTACATGTATTTACAGTATGCTGTACATTTGTTTTCATGTTTTTAAATCTAAATGGTAGAAAAACGCATATATCACAAACTGATAATATTCAGATTGTTGAGAAGACTTTCATTGGTTGGGGTCAATCGTAACTTGTAGTTTGGGCTTCTACCGATTTTCAAATTAGTAGGAATTAGCTTTCATCCACTCCTGTGGACTTTCTCAACCAGTGAGAAAAAAAACAAAAAAATTTGACACTACCACTGGCCGAGTAAAATTTCAGAAAAAACGTTTGCTCTTTGATTACAATTTAATGAGAAAAATGTAGAGCAAAGTTTTTGTTGGGGTTGCGGGGGTTTACTTGAGCATGTAACTATGCGATTCCGCTGTTTTTATGGGTTAAAAAAATAAAAATAAAAAATAAATAAATGAAAAATCATATTTTAAGATTTTAAGATCGTATTTCACTCTTATTATCGTACTAAATGCAATTTAATCGTACTGGTTGGCATCTCTGTAGATACATAATACAAGTAAAGGACTGAGGTCAAGATGGTTATATCTTTAATTCCAAACTTATTCTGGCAAACAAATTTCAAATTTAATTCTTTAAAAAATTCAATCATTAACTATAAATAAATCATAAATATAGATGCTTTTATCACAATTTACAAATCAAAATAGTTCAGTTGAATCAAGAAGCAAACATTTCCCTCACAATAACTGAGCATGAATACTGAACAGTCCTTATAAATAGCTACAATGTACTAGTCTATGGCAGTCGACATTTAAAGCATAACACGGAAAGCTGCTAACACTTGGATGTAATCAAAATCTAATATGCTATAATGTACTTATTTAATATGAAAACTGCCATACACAACTGCAACAGCTTTTATCTGCATATATACAAATTATTTACAAGTCCATACAAAAAGAGGTCATCATATATTGAATGTGCACTACAGAGAATTCCTACGACATAAAAACATAACAAATATCTATAAAAGTGGGAGGTATTTGATCACATATTTAAACAAAAGAACTGTTTAACATGAATGCTGCATAATTCCAGTTTGGATTAAATACTTGCTAGGTCCTTACAGTAGCGAGTCATTGGCCACTCTCCACCCAGGTGTTAAATGGGTACCCGGTAGGATGCGAAAGCTAATGTGCTTAGATTAGCAAGCTGGAATGCTCCCCAGGGAGTGGAGAATGTGCATACATTGTGTGCGGGTAAGCCTGAATCCGATGACCGGGGTAATTATCTATGTGTTGATCTGTAAAGCGCTTTGAGAGGGCCTTCGGTCCTGAAAAGCGCTATATAAGAACTAGCTATTATTATTATTATTATTGGTATTATGGCCCCCTTTTTGGTCTCTAACATAACTGGACCTTCAGAAATATGGGAAAGTGAAGACTTGCTGCATGGAAGGACAGCCTTAAAGGGAAAGTCCACCCTGATATTAAGTTGGTTTTCATAGAAGCAGAAACATTTGCTCAAACTTTCACTGACCTGGGCCCAGTTTCATAAAACTTGATATCAATAACAAGTTACAAGCTACTGTTATAAGCTACTGAAGTCCTGGCATCTGATTGGCTGAGAGCAAATTTGTCATAGAAATTTAGCATTTGTCATTGATAACAAGTTTTATGAAACAGGCCCCTGTTTCTCTCCTTTTTCTGCTTCTGTGAAAACCAACCTTATATCAGGGTGGACTTGCTCTTTGAAGAACAATTTGCATCTGCAACCTGACCCCACCCCCACCCCTCCCCCCCCCCCCCCCCCCCCACAGAAAAGGTTAAAGTTGCTTTAGCATGTCATTAGAAAATATACCAAGGTTGGGATTTAAGGCAGTGGATGTTTGAAGAAGAAAATGCATACAAAGAGAGTCAGTGAGAGACGCTCATTTGTTTTTCACCACTGAGACTATTCTCTATGCTACAAAAGCTCACATTTTTCTATGTAACTTCTTGGTCTGAAAAATCCTTGTTTAATTTCAACTGCACCAAACAAAAATCTATCTAAGATACCAAAACTTCTTGATAAATGCTGAATCGCCATGAACTTTAATATTACATATTTGATGGAACTGGCAAAATAATCAAGTTTTTATAACCAAAGAAGAGTTCAGTTGTAAAAGACTTGAATTTCTAAATCTCGGAAGACACTTAGATATAAATGAAATTTTCCAACACAGTATACGGTTGTATTATCTGGAGTTATAACATGAAAATTGAACGATGGTACATAAGACAAATGTACACAATAAGAAGTCTTCATGCACCAATGTCTTAATATTGCATGGGAAAACCTGACATGCTTGTTCATTTTAAATGTCTAGCTTTTGAAAAAATCCACCTAGCCTGCAACTTCTATTTCACCATCTACTCAAAGTCGGCTCAAATGAAGCGGAATCCATTCACATAACAGCATAACTGTACATTAACACCTTGGCATAATTTCTCTTCAGTTGTCCAGGCTTTATCAAGTGTTGCAGATGTGCTGGTTATCTATGAATCCCTGCAACTCTCATCCGGAAAAGGAAAAAAACACCTGCAGTTGTTTGATCACGTGCCTGGAATATACAAAAAACTACGAATGGCTATTTCAGAAATCACTGCAAAAAGAATCGTCCATTTGGCGCCGTTTCACCTGGTCTGAATGACACAGTATCGAGCTTGAGCGATGCATCGTTGGGAAAGTAGACATGGCCCTCGCCGCTGCTAGACCCTTGTATTGCTTGAGGGTCTGCTTCAGTCTTTACGGTCACACCGGGAGCAATTAAAACAGCACCTTGCAACGTCGGGGCGGTGCTACTGCTATCGTTGAATTGCAGCGCAAGCGTTGTGACGGCCACAGAGTCTGTATCTTCCTCATGCTCTTTTAATCTTGCATTTGCACTGTCCATTGCTTCCTTTACACCCCCCGACGCACTGTTGCTTGTCGAAGGAGCAAACATAGTGTTCCATGAGCTTCCATTGCTATTTATTGATTCTGTTGCATGAGTGGTCTCAGTCCTTTGTTGATTTCCTGATTGAAAAGAGGTTTTGGAGGGTGAACCCAAGGCCGATGTCCCTGCTCCTAATCTCTCACTCTCCTCCTTGTGTGTCGTCTTGTCTTGGTTGGACAGTTCAGCCAGGTCACTGAATCCAATGTACCGCACTTCTGTAGCTTCAGACTAGTGGAAAATATTTATAAGGAAATTACGTAACTGTTAGAAAACATAATCCAATCACAATTTTGATTGCTCCCGTCTCCCCCCCCCCCCCCCCCCCCCGAGTTCATTTTTCACCTGCATAGCATATCCAAAAGACATTGCCAACCAAAAATAAGTGTTTAAACTCGATGGAAATGTACATCCCTGGAAGCTACAAGAAAAGATTCATCAAAGCATTTCTCTTCCCATCTATTTGGCAGAAAGATAGACAGTTTACCAAAGCACATTATCATCACAACTGTTTCTCTACATAGAATGCCCCATCAGTATATTCACTATTTATCAAAGGGGTTCTTTTTAAACGACACACATACATTAATACAGACATGTACAAGCAATAAAGAACAAAGTTTAGCAGTTGACACTGTCTCTTACTTCAACCAACAAAGTCTTCTTCTTAACTGCGTACAATCTTATCAATATTTTTCTTTAAACACTTTTTTTTTCGGGGGGGGGGGGGGGGGCAGAAGTGTGTCTTAAAGCCTGTCTGCACTAGTTTGGCTAGGAGGGATTAGACTTCCCTGCGTGGTTACCTCATCAAATCAGCTCTCAATTTTTCAATTTTATTTCATCAAATCAGCTCTCAATTAACAAAAGAAAAAGAATAATTATGATACAATTTAAGTGAAATGTTGCCTTCAATTTTCTGGCAAATTTGGGGATCCAAACACTTTGGAGGGCCCCCCCCCCCCCGCCCATTTTGCCTATGCATGCGTAGTCGTACTCACCAGTCTTGCCCGCACCTTCTTGGGCATGGGTTCACCTTCCTTATAGATATCCTCCTTCTTGACGGTGATGACCGAGCCGTCTTCAAACAGGACCTCGTACATCTTGGTGGAGTAGCTGTTGATGAAGGTACCTGGGTAGAGGAGAGCGTCCACCCACCGCACTTCAACGTCACTTCCCACCTCGGGTACCCCGTCTGCGGCAATGTTGTGACTCTGCAAGTAAAAATAGGATGTGGATTTAGGAACTCTATCTCTCTCTCTCTCTCTAAGTGCCAGAGCTGCCAACCTTGTGCTAACAAAAAAAGGAACCATGATGGCAAAAAAAAGAATGCATTAAAACCAAACTTACAACCAGGCGCGACACACTTCCAATGCAGAAATGTCCATTCCTCATGCCTTTTTTTTTCCATATTAGGTAATTTTTTTTGTATTTTGGTATTATCGACATTTCATTCTTTTGAGAATATTTTCTCTTCAAGTATGTTTTCAGGTATGTTTTAACCTTATTTTTCTATTGAATAACATTTTAGGGCAGTTGTTTGACATATGGTATGCAAAAAAAAAAAATTAGAAAAATAATAATAATTTTAAAAACGTATTTTGTAAAAAAAAAAATTGGGATGAAGAAACAGAATAATTCCTGGAAAAACGGAATGGTTGGCAGCTCTGAAGTGCCATATAGTTTGACTTTGGCGATCATGCTGTTCCACAACCCTCGGCTCCTAGCATACTCTATTAGCACCACTCCCAGTTCTTGCACTCCTCTCTCTTCTAACAATTTCTGCAGACTGTCCATCCAAAGTATCCTCCCTTCCAACAATTTTGAGGAACTCTATACCTCAGAATAAAAGTCTCGATCAATGTTATGACTCCTTGAATTGGGCAAAAAGAATTTCTGTTTCGGTTTAATAAAATTTGGAGTGGACTATTAGGCTATTATTATTATTATTTATTATTATTATTATTAAAAGGTCGATCAAACTCTATGCTTCGAAAAAAAAGGATGAAGAAGTAATGAAGGCCCTCGCTTGAAAAATTGGTAAAAGCCTGTGGTTACACGTGCTTATAGACCACCATGGATGTTGCTCACTCACATCAACAGTACACAGATTATAACTACTTTATGTTCAAGCTCCGACACACAAGCTTTCTCTGCAGCAACAATAAAAGCTGTACCAATGATATACTTGCTCCACAAAGAAACAATCCCGACTCTCATAGCTCCAAGCGGCGAGATACGTGTGAGTTTTAAACTGCCTGTAGACATCCAATACTATACTTATTTCAATCATAAGGTTGGGACTACGAATCCCACTCAAGGACCTAAATTTCCTTCGGCAAGAAACTCATCCACATTGTGCTGCACTCCACCCAGGTGAAGTACATGTAAATGGGGACCTGGTAGGAGTTTATTCCTTGAAATGCAGAGCGCGTGACAGCTGCTCTGTTAAAGCCAGGGGAAATTATGCCAAAATATTGTAGAGCGCTTAGAGACTTCTGATACAGTAAGTGCTAGGCGCTATATAAGCACATATAACTATTATATTAACTTGATATTTGTAATTCAACTTAAAGCCCCACTGCACCACTTGTAGCTACTTGCTCCCTCTATATAGAAAATAATGCCTAAGCGGTGCCTGTTGGTCCCCCATGGTCCTCTTTTTCTGATGTTTATTGAGAGCTGAGTTGATGAGATAACCACCTGTCAGGGACCAGGCTGGGTGGTCTAATCCCTCCTGGCCAAACTAGTACAGACAGGCTTTAAAACAATAAAGGCTATGTCCATTGGGCACTCACCTCGATATCTTCTGGGTAGAGATTATCACAGAAGCTTTGATCTTCCTTGAACACCACATGGCAGAAGAGCTGAGCCTTCTCTCCCTTCACTACTGAGTTGTAGTACCGATTGTTCTTATGCTTGGCAATCACTTGGTCCCCTGTTTGGATCTTCTTCATCTTACGTATCCTCGTCTGAATCAGGGAGATGAAACACGGTTTATACAAGATCGTTGATCGTACATCCATTAATCATAACAGAAATCATGTGCATTAGCAAAACCAAAAACTTATTTAATTTTTAATTTTTAATTTTTTGTATAACTTGATACAGATAGGCAGTATCATTTTATATTTCAGTCTCTTATTTATTCTGAAATGGTGAGTAAATGTATCCTTTAACAAAACTAGATGGAACTTCGACTGCGCGCAGTCGAAAATGATGCCTCCGTCATAGAGCAATTTTACAAACCAAAACAGAAGAAATTTTTCGAATTCAAGTTCAATTGTAATCCATTAACAGGTTCTCAGAATATTGTGATTACAAGCTATTTTTGCATACATAATAAGCCCATGACCTTTGACCTTATGAACCAAGAATCTACTCAGTTCATTGGCTCTGCAAGAAACATACATGACCTAAGTTGGCAGGAATCCATCAATCGGTTCTTGAGATAACGCGATCACGAGCTGTTTTTGCATACATAATGTGCCCTGTGGCCTTTGACCTTTGACCTTGTGACCCCTACATCTAATCAGTTCATCGGCTCTGCAAGTAACATACATGACCTAAGTTTGGCAGCAATCCATCAATTGGTTCTTCAGATAACGCGATCACAAGCTCGTTTTGCATACATAATGAGCCCTGTGGCCTTTGATCTTTGACCTCGTGACCTCAAAATCTAATCAGTTTTTCGGCTTTGCAAGTAACATACATGACCTAAGTTTGGCAGCAATCCATCAATCGGTTCTTCAGATAACGCGATCACGAGCTCGTTTTGCATACATAATGAGCCCTGTGACCTTTGACCTTTGACCTCGTGACCCCAAAATCTAATCAGTTCATCGGCTCTACAAGATACATACATGACCAAAGTTTGGCAGGAATCCATCAACCAGTTCTTCAGATAACGCGATCACGAGCTCGTTTTGCATACATAATGAGCCCTGTGACCTTCGACCTTTGACCTCGTGACCCCAAAATCTAATCAGTTCATCAGCTCTACAAGATACATACATGACCAAAGTTTGGCAGGAATCCATCAACCAGTTCTTCAGATAACGCGATCACGAGCTTGTTTTGCATACATAATGAGCCCTGTGACCTTTGACCTTTGACCTCGTAACCCCAAAATCTAATCAGTTCATCGGCTCTACAAGATACGTACATGACCAAAGTTTGGCAGGAATCCATCAACCAGTTCTTCAGATAACGCGATCACGAGAACGGGACGTACGTACGTACAGACGTACGTACGTACGTACGTACGTACGGACGTACGGACGTACGGACGGACGGACAACCCGAAAACATAATGCCTCCGGCTACTTCGTAACGGAGGCATAAAAATCAACAAGACCAACAAACTATTCCTCCGCAAAAATATTTTGCAATAAAATGAGTAATCCATCAATTGAAATATAGTCTGATCGAGTCTAGCTTCTTGTGACATAACGATTATGTCCTGGTCAGTGCTTGGTGATTCACTCTCTTCAACCTTCTTTTCCTCTATCCATCTTTTCATATATTTCACATATTACAAAGCCAGGTTGTTGTTTTTTCCTCAACCCCGCCCCCCTTCAGTAAAAAAAAAAGAAAAAAAGAGGATTCGGGGGGGGGGGGGAATGCGATTTCCCCCGTTTGAGTAAAAAAATTGGGGAAAAATAGGGAAAAATAGGAAGAATAGAAAAAATAAGGGAAAATAAGGGAAAATAGGGATAAACTCGGGGATAAAATCGGGAAGAAAAAAGAAAATTGGGAAAAAATTGGGAAACCGATTTAAATCGGGTTATTATCAGGCCTGCAAAGTCTAATTGGATCAGAAAGCAGAAGAGTGGTAGACTCACCCAGTCTTTGACGTTGACAGGATGCCTGATACAGGTGGCAAAGACCGCACAGGGCCAGACTCCAGGCTCCATGATCACACCAGCTACGTTGGCACACGTTACATGGAATGATATGGCGCACTTGCCTACAGAGCACTGGATGCAGGAACCAAACTTGGGACTGTACTTGATGAACGATCGGCAGAAGAAGCATTTCTGGAAGAGAGCATATTAAAGGGATCGTTTAACAATGTTAAATCTGAGATGCACGGCTCCACGTGTTATCAGTGTCTGTGATATGGTGTAATAGTGAAGCCTTGAAAAAATTGAGCTTCAAACTAAATATTCCGAGATTTTCATGGTCGCAGCTACCATTGTACGGCCATAGGCGCTATTTGAACTTTATCAAAATTTACCGGGAGCACCAGAAATTTTTGTATTCAATTTTTCTCAAAAACAGAAGTGTTTTAGGGGCTAATTTTTTTAGTGCTTATAATACATCTACAGGGGCATCCAAATAAATCAAAATTGTAAAGATTCACTATCCAACCAATTTTTAAATTTTCCCAAAACTTTGTATTACCTTTAACAAGTTTGACACTCTATCAATAAACTTGTTAAACAGTATTTATGGAGGTACTGTTGAGCTGCAACTACAACATTTGATAGATGGAAACAATCTTTTGGGGGAAAAAGTGAAATACTATTTATATGAAGAAGAAAAAAAGTTGGTTAAAAATGATACATGTTTTACTTGGGTCTGAATATAGTTGACATCGGATTGAAGTTGTGTGAGATAGAAGGCTTCTTACCAGTTTCAGCCTTGCTTCCGAGATGTTAGAGCAATCGATGGGACTCCTCTCCTTTACGTTGACAAAGCGTATCTCTGGGATGGCCATGGCGCACATGATGTGGGCCCATTTCCCACTGGTGGTATGTCTCAGCGCCCCGCCCCGAAGGTTACACAGACAACACACCTAGGATAGGATATCAAATAAGGACATTAGTTACATGCATTAGGATTGCACAGGGTTAGGTCAAGTGGATACGTCACCGGACTGTCGATCACAAGGTCTGCGGTTCGAGTCCCGCCGCGGCACTTATGCCCTTTGGCAAGACATTGATCTACCTTTGCCACACTCAACCCAGGTGATGTAAGTGGGTACCTGGCAGGAATTTAATTCCTTCAAATGCTTTAGCGCCTTATCATGGCAGCTAAGCTACAGTCGGGCTAATGATATGATACCTTGTATTAAGCGCAGTAGAGTATATTAATATAGTAGCTACGCTATATACATTGACCTATTATTATTATTTCCCAGTCAGAGAAGTGAGTTACATACATTCTCACATCAAAACACAATTGCATTAGGAATACATCTTTCAATCAAAAATACATATTCCACAAAACAGCATAGCTTTGCAAGTAACTATCACCATCCTCATGAAATCCCTTCCAACACATATTTGAGTCATATCACACCAAGTGCATCAATTTTGTTCATGTTATTCTCATTCTGAGTTAGCCTCTACACTATCATCACATGTTGATTCATGACAGTAACTAAGGCCAATTTCCCAAGCCAAGACCAATTCATCAAGCCTAGACCAATTCCTCAAGCCTAGATCAATTCCTCAAGCCTAGACCAATCCCTCAAGCCCAGACCAATTCCTTAAGCCTAGACCAATCCCTCAAGCCTAGATCAATCCCTCAAGCCTAGACCAATTCCTAAAACCTAGACCAATTCATCAAGCCTAGATCAATCCCTCAAGCCTAGACCAATTCCTAAAACCTAGACTAATACATCAAGCCTAGATCAATCCCTCAAGCCTAGACCGATCCATCAAGTCTATACTAATCCCTCAAACCTAGACCAATCCCTAAAACCTAGACCAATTCATCAAGCCTAGACCAATCCCTCAAGCCTAGACCAATCCCTCAAGCCTAGACCAATCCCTCAAGCCTATACCAATCCCTAAAACCTAGACCAATCCCTCAAGCCTAGACCAATCCCTCAAGCCTACACCAATCCCTCAAGCCTATACCAATTCCCAAAACCTAGACCAATTCTTAAAGCCTCAAGAATGTCTACTCTTCCACAGTATGGACTATGAACAGAGCACCCTCCCAATGTTTATGGCGATAGGTCTTATCGACAAGCAAGATTCAACCTGTATGATAGGCATTTCGTCTATATTTCCTTCTATTCCCTCTGGCCACATGTAGTAACTCAGTAATTGAGAGGATTTTTGAGTGGCCATGTGTAGTAACTCGGTAATTGAGAGGATTTTTTGAGAGGATACTCGGAGAGTAGTACTTACAGCTGACCAGTCTTCTTCTTGGCATCTCTGACAGAGCCATGGTTTATCATCTTCTCGTGGAGAATGTCCATAGCAACCTAATAGGATAAGACCATCAACATGTTGTCATTCAAATTCTAAAACAAAAATTTGCATGGAATCAAATATTTTGCCTGGCTTCCTACTTCGACTTCAATTGACTTCAATGAACCATTTGTTTAGCTAGGTACAAGTGATTTTTTTTAATACTCTGACCTCCCCCCCCCCCCCCCCCCCCTCCCCAATAAAAAGAAGAAACAGAAAATATAAAATTACATACGTTTTTAGAAGAAACTGTAGGCAAGCAAAAGCGATGGAAACCTTTGAAACTCATTGCAGTCTCTACTTTTTTTAAATCCAAAAGGCCCTCTGTACTTTTTTGACTAGGAGGGATTAGACCACCCAGGGAGGTCACTGACAGGTGGCTTTCTCATCAACTCAACTCTCAATTAACATAAGAAAAAGAGGATCATGGGGGACCAATGGTCACCGATAAGGCATTGTTTCCTATATAGAGGGAGCAAGTAGATACAAGTAGTACAGTGGGGCTTTAAAAGAAATATTTGTAATTATATATTGTTATGATTTTATGATTTCAAAGAAAAACAACAACGAAACTTACTTGCATGAACGGCCATATTGCAGGAACTACATGAGAGTATAGGGCTACATGCCTCGTCATCGATGAGGGGGTTATGACAGGAGGGGTTCGAGTTCTCCTGAGTAGCAGCAAAGCAGTCTTCCGGTGTCAGGACAAACTTACGGTAGTCTTGCGATGACCCCGCCAGCACCGTCTTGCCCGAGTCATCCTCATCATAGATGCCCAGCTGAAGGGGATAGAGATGTGTGAAAGGGTTATGTAGGTTAACATTTTATAAATAATCACCCTGTGCCATTTTGTATTTAATCATGGTATAGAGATACAGTCAAACCTGCTTTAGTGACCACCTGTCTACAAGGGCCACACTTTTTTGTTTCCCTTGAAAATGGTTTCTCATTGAAACATGTACTAAAGGAACATGTCTAAAAAGACCACTTTTTGTGTTTCCCTTGGGCGGTCGCTATAGACAGGTTTGACTGTATCACCCAAAGCTTCAAGATTGTCTAGTTTTTTGGAGTGCAACTTTAATTGATAGCAGTGTTTAAAAGTGTTATCAAAGAGCGAATACCGGAAATGTGTAATTTTGCAAAACCATTGTATTACACAAAGCAATCCTTCCTTCAAACAGTGCCTATTGTTTTGCACAAAATTGCAAGTGTGGCAAACTAGCAACCGTGCTGACAAGTGAAGAAAGCAAACAGAATGTTAAAGGAAGTCAATGCACATACAAGGGCTCGAGACTAACAGGCGATGGGACTCACGAGTGCCCAAAATCTAAGATTGGAACCCTAAACTACAACACCTCCAATACCCTGCCATAAACATTCATCATATATATCAAATCTCCATCACCCTTGAGATATAGGCAAGTTGGAGTATTTTCTGGTGGAACCTAGGGTTCGCTGCTTCAGAGACCTTTGTACGCACAGACACATTGATTAGTACTTCAACCAAATCTAGTGTCAGCAAATTATGATGCAATACACATGGACACTGAATACTAGGCGGCATTAATCTTTGTTGATAACAGTCATTTTCTCAATGATACTATCTTTATCATCTTTATTAACCTCATATTACCCATCGATAAACACTAGAATATGGCCAGCATCAGAGCTGCCAATCTTGTGCAACCAAAAAAAAAGAAACCATGACGGCAATAAAAGGAATTTGAAGCCAAAAAAAAGGAATTCATTAAAACAAAACTTACAACCATGCTCGACACACTTCCAATGCAGAAAGATTCAATTCCTAATGCTGTTATTTCCATATTAGGACATATAGTATATTTACAAGTAGGTAGTTTTTTTGTTTTTTTGTTGGTATTATCAGCATTTCATTCTCTTTTAGAATTTTCACGCCTTTCAATTGTTTTTCTTTCTTTTTCGTTTGCTATTTATAAATTTGTATTCTTCATAAATCTCTATTGAAGTAGTGATCAACATTTTAGAGCATTTGGTTAATGTGCTGTATGTTTTTTTTTTTTAAATGTAAATAATAAAAAATGAACAGTTATTAAAAAAAAAAACATGTACTACCGTAATTCTGAGAAAAAACTGAATACTGTCGGAAAAAAACATAATGGTTGGCAGCTCTGCAGCATCAATATCATCCCTACTACTGCACCAACTAATCTTTAGAGCCTTGTCTTTACATGCAAGACAGACAAGCAGATGAGTGTACAAGAAACCAACCTTGTCATGAAAGAAGATCCGACACACACAACATCCTGGCTTCTGATCGGCCATGGACGCATTGTGCACCATCTCCATCATGAAGTTGGTGGGCTGAGTAACCCAGAGACCGTTGAGGGACCGCGCCCAATCCTTCATAGCTCTGGTTTCTTTCATCGTAAAGGCTACATGAGAAGAAATAATAATTATGAAGTTATTTGCGTACATGTACTGTCTGTTAATGTCTAGAGTTTTTGTAAAATCATTAGTAAATGTTAATCTGTGTATGTTACACCAGTGAAAATCAAATATCGAGAAATGGACAATAAATACTAAATACTAAATACAATATGCATAGCAATTACAGGGGTGATAGTGAGCACTAAAAAAAAAATAGGTTTTTTGTTTTCCCCTCAACCACGCCCCCCTTGAGTAAAAAAATTTTTTTTTAAAAGAGGATTTGCGGGGAAAAAATGGCATCTAACAACATTCCCCCCTTTCGAGTAAGAAAATTGGGACAAAATTGGGGAAAAAATAGGGCAAAATAGGGAAGAATAGAGAAAATAAGAGGGAAAATCAGGATAAAATAGGGAAGAAAAAAGAAGAAAAAAAAAAATTAATCAGGAAAAATAGGGAAACCGATTTAAATCAGGTTTTTATCAGGCCTGCAATTAAAGACAAATATTCAAGCTAAATGCCCTTTTCTTTGTTTTCTATGCTTAACTAAAAACAGAAAGAAACACAAAATGACCATAACTTGTCATTCTTAAAAAGAAAAAAAAAGAAATTTTGTGTTTTTTTTTCTTTACTAGCTTATTAGCGACAACAATTGACTTTGAAACTTATCCCACCAGTCAACAGCATCATTTTTATATGAAAAAATATATAAAAATTCATTAGAACACATTAAAAGACATGTGATTACTGGACAGACATAAAGATTGAACATTGTTAGTATCAAAGAAAGGCAAACCTCATAAACACGTGACATAAATTGTTAACATGAAGACAACATTTGAAACATACACATAATTCAGTTATATTAAGCTTCGACATAAGTTTTCAATTTCTCTTTTCTATCAAGGCTAATTCACTGCTTTACCCTAAGATGAAAATTTGTTTACGATTGATCCCATGGCTTTAAAACCTACAAAAGTCCTTGCGTTTTGATATCTCCCACTTTCAAATAACCTGCATTGACCCTTCAAGCTAATGTAAACATGTAAGAGAGGGAGAGAGAGAGAGGGAGAGAGAGAGGGAGAAAGAGAGCAAGAAGTGAGGGAACTTTGACAAGAGCATTCGCAGAAAGAGGGTTGATGCTGAAGGAGGGAGGGAAGGGTCTGGTGGAGCAATATCTCGTAAAGCAGTGGCCATATTTAGAAGAGAGAAATTGAGCGTAGAATCGTTTTTTGTGTTGCAGTATAATCATGTGCTAGGTAGTATCCACCTGGGCTTGGAAATAGCTGCTGCAGAGGCCAGAGCGTAAACGATCTTCAGGACTACTTCTTTTTCCTTCCAATAGTGCAAAAAGCGGCAGTCAGGGTACCAACATTTTCATAATATCCTTTATCTTTCAATTCCTATCATGGGTACTTCTCTTCTTCTTATACCTGACTTACAAGTCAATTGTCCTAACCAAACGCAAGCAGCCTTCACTTGAGTGCAAGATGACCATATTTGTGAGCTTAACAGAGCATTTTCAGAGTCGGTGCTACATCAAATGGTGCTAGTATCATCATATACTTCAAAAATTGCTCAGAGTCTTTCCTAATTTCACCAGTTCAAACAAATTCTTGAAATATCAAGCAAAACTGGAAGTACTCTGATCAAAGTTTCAAGGGTTTATTAAATTGTTTAAAACCATTAGCTAGCACCATGTAAAAATAGCACCCCCCAAAAAAATGCATTAGGCAAGTATGTTCACTGCACATGCGTGTAAGGATGGTTTGTGCTTGAATCAGGTAATTGAAAAGTCTTTCCTTGCCATTCCTAAGAACACTTGTAACTTATCACCTTGAAATCAAGATGTGAATTAGAATAATAACAGCTCCATTACGAATGTAAGAAGGATCCTGGTATTCAGTTGATTTCAAAGTGATAGGTACGTTTCCTTGGGATGGTAGGTACAAAAACGGATACTTGGCAAAGAATTTGATTGTTTAATTTAGGCTGGAGAAGCCCAAAGCAGTTGATAGCGCGATCTAAGCATAATTTGGATTTTCTCTAATTAATAGAACAGATTTAGTCCAATTTATATATGCAGGGAGCTTGGTGCCTATTTGGAGACACCATAAATGATATCCTTGCAAGACCCTGCCCTGAAGTGTCTGACAATGTTTAGCTCGAGCAGCAGCAGCGGCGATTTCCAGCTCCATGTAGCCTGGCTGTATTCCTCCTGGGCTTGGACTATAGATGCCCAGCCCAACTTATCTTGGGCTAGCTTTTTTTTTCTTTGCTTGAGGAGCATTTACCAGAATGTGTGTGAACCAGAGACTGAGGTAGCACTTGAGGTAAGCCGCCTGGCTTAGGCATTGCCAGAGCCCGCCTATATTCCAACATGGCCACTGCCGTACGAGGGGGTGATGGGCATCGGTCTGTGTAAGGGAGAGGGTGTACATGAAGGACCAGTGACAGGGTGTCAGTATGATTGAAAAGCAGAGGTCAAAGGTCAAAATGCAGAGGTCAAAGGTGAAAGAGATATACCAAATTCCCGGGGGCAAAAGGAGGTTGTTTTGAAAATTAGTAGCCTAATTTTTTTTGTATAACCCACCACAAAAATGAAATGAGCAGGTCAGATAAGGATATACAGGGTGTTGAAGAAGTTCACAAGTTGAAATTCAGGATCTACATGTAAATTACTTTCCTTCTACACGTATAAATAAAAACTTGTGTGGAGGAATTTTGTTACAAATCCTATTGATTTAATTTCTTCTAAGAATCGCCCTGATCTTAACATTAGTATTTAGATTATAATATATGAAGTACACATTAAAGAAATAAAAAGTAAACATTTTTTTATTTCTTAAATAATATAAACTGTAACACATGTTAGTGTATTAATTAATACAAACACAAAAGCAAACTCTGTAATTTTTTTATGAGAGTACCAATAGAATCCTCAACCTAAACTTCCAAGTTGATTATATATAAGTCATTGAATTAGTAGTACCATCATCTAATAATTACAGTACCCCAGTATAAATAATATACAATGCCAAGACCCATCCTGCTAAAATGTTAAGTATAATGGCATCATCAAGAAGAAACAATCATGATGACTTTTAACAAACTAGTCAAAACTACGCAAGATTCTTTAATCACTTTCCTTTTAAATTTAAAATAACTTTGTGTTTTAATGGCAATTAAACTGTACTAATCTGTTAAAATCTACTCAAGATGGCAATCATCATCATATCCTAATGGAACTTTTTTTAATCAATTTCCCCTTTGAATTTAAAATAATTACATGCTTATCACACTCCTGGAATTCAATTGAGGCCTTTTAAAATTTAGCAAATTCATTATTTTTTTCCTCAAGGAAACTTGAACAATAATTCACTGTCAACATGGATGAAAAGAACTATAGTCATTTGCTAGGAAATAAAACCTGGAAAATCTCTCATAAAAAAAAAAGTCAACTTTAAAAAATATATGATCAATCAAAGGTAAACCTCAATGAACATGATGAAAACGTTGTTTCGATGGAGCATTAATAATGCCTTTAGACCAGATGCCATTGAGGCCAATGTGACAAGTCTTTCACAGCTGTTAAAGATACTAAATTATTAAATAGATATTTTGTCAACAACCCCCACCCCTAGCACATTTATTTGTGATTTCTAAAACAGAATTAGTTCACAAAAATCCTTCTTACTATCGTCTTCTATTATGCATGTATGTCCATCTAAAAGCAGAAAATTAAGTGAATTCACTTATTTTGTTTGGTTCTGATTTTGATCAAACATTGCGGTTTACCTTTAGCAGGAAGGTTATTTCTTTTAAACAAAAACTTTAAACAAATAAAAATAACACAACAGAATTGATAGAATGAGAGGAATACATCCTTACCCTTGCCTTTCCTCATCCGTACCATCTGCCTACGTCCTTCCTCTTCCCTTGACGGTCTGGGTTGGTGCTTATGCTTGTAGGTGTTCTTGGACGAGGAGGGCTTCCCTTGCGGCTTGAGGACCGCTGAGTAGCGATGGTCAAACATGACCCACCTGCTGGTCTCAGAATACTCGCCACCCCTGTTATCCTCCTCCTCTTCCCCTTCCGACACGCCATCCTCCACCCTGGGCTTCACATCCGCACCGTTGGCTGATGAAGTTGGCGCATCACCACTGCCTTTCACGGACATTTTCTTCGGCCTGCCCCTCGGTTTTTTCCCCCCCTTGGCGACTTTGGTAATGTCTTTCAGTTTCTTGGGGCTACTGTTCTGCTTTTTCCGCTTCTCTGCATCGGGTACGATGACAAGATGCCCCACTGTTTTTTTCTTGTTCGTGCCATCGCCCGACAGCTTGCTCTTGGAGTCTGTCTTTTTCTTCTTGGTCGGTGACTCTCCCTCCCCGCTCGAGGTAGATTTCCTCTTCTTCGAGACACCATCTTTGTCCTTCACCTTCTTCGTCTTCTTCTTCTTCAGCTTAAGACTGCTATCACTTGCATCGGTATCCTTGCTGCTGGTCTTTGCATCACCTTTTCCCAATTCTGCTTTCTTCTTCAGCTTCTTGTACTTCTTCTTCAGAGCATCAAGAGTAACTCCGTCGACCAAAATATCTGGCTCTTTGATTTTCTTCTTCTTTTTCTTTGGAAGTGCATTAGGAGAGTTTGTCCGTCTACCATCCTTCTTGTGTACTGGATGTCTCCTGGGGAGCTCGTCACTCGTGGCGGTGAATGGCCTGTACAGGGGAAAAAACAGTTAAAGTGACTCAGTAACAATGCCTCAGATTCTGAAACAAAATCCTGGATTTAGCTCATGCTGCAATCATAATTATAAACCTTTAGGTCAGTCAGGAATCCCATGACTTTTACAAGCCAATCTTTCTTCTTTAACCCTATTCTTACAGGGCTTTTTGACACCCCCCTTAGATCTCGGCCGTGGAAGGTCCAATCAAGGTCAAATTTGCATTGTTATTGACACACATATAAAAAGTACTGCTGCATTTTCTCCCAGCAAATATTGCCTATTTGTTACTTTATCATAATTTATGCAAATTAGATACCTATTTCTACATATTCATTGATATTTTGTTTGAAAATTAGGTCAATCTACATGTATTTAAAGAAGTTTCTGAGTAGCATAGTTCACGATATTATATTTTAAACAAAATCATAATCAATTGTTCTGTATTATATTTTATTTAAAAGTTGCAAGACACATGAAAAGGTTAAGTCACAAAAAGGCAAGTTGCGATCTGCAGCAGTTGCACGGATTATGGGATGAAGTATTCCTATCAGGATATTTTGTTTGAAGGGGAAGTCTACCCTGATATTAAATGTAATGCAAAGTTTTGGGAAATTTTGAAAATCTGATTTTAGTAATTCTTTAAAATTTTGATATATTTGGATGCCCCTGTGGATGTATTATAAGCACTGCAAAAGTTAGCCCCTAAAACACTTCTGCTTTCGAGAAACTGAATAATCAAAAATTTACCGGTGCTCCCTGTAAATTTCAAATATAGTCAAATAGCGCCTAAGGCCATTCCTTGGTAGCTGCGACTATGGAAATCTCAGAATATGCAGTTATGATATATCATTTTCAAATGGGAATAGCAAATTGGTCGATCGTAGTAAAAAAACATTGTTCTAGAGATAAAGTAATATCGGTCTTGAGAGGGCATTATAGAACATAAAGAGTTTATTATTCACAATTGCATCACTTGAGACTGCGACAACGATCATTGAATATTGTAATATCGCATATGCTTCCAATATGTTCATTTGAACCAAATTCATGACCCCATACCAAAACTTTGTAATACTTTTAAGTAGGTTTTAATAAAATCAGACAAATGAGAAGAAAAAAAAAATCAGTGAAAATTTAAGCAATATCCGATTAAAAACAAAAAAGTTATGAATTTTTTTAATTTGTCATCAGTAAAACACAAACTGGCAACACTGACTAATCTTGTGAGCTCCTCTCCCATTCGCTCTGTACAGATTTTTAATAAACTTTCTCTTTTCTTAGTTATTGATGACAGAACAGCTTTGTTGCATACAGGTGTTGTATAAAAACATACTTGAAATAGTCATATTTAGGGTAAATGTATGATTGACTATTTTCTTAAGGGCAAAATACAACTTTGAAGTTTTTTTTAGTTCAGGGCAAAATGGGAGGGTACCTCACAAAATACGTCAAAGAGTTGTCTATTTGTGTTTGATTAAAAAATTCAGACCTTAAGCCTCGGTCACAAATGCCATTACGAACTGCTACGAATGCCGTACGAACAATTTTCAGACAATGGAAATTCGAAAGACAATGGAAAAACAGGGAGATTGATACGAATGCATCGTTCGTACGAACCTTTGTGACCGTAGCTTAACTTATTTTCAATTGTTTTTTACACAAACTTTTACCCACCTGTTTCTCTCATGTTTCTGCATCTATTAAAACCAACGTAATATTAAGATGAACTTCCATTTTAAGCCCTGCCATTTGCAGTATTTTTCTGTCAGTTTTTCATCACTCTCCTGTACACCAAATTTTGAAATGTGATATTCTTTACCATATTTTTGTTAATATCCATGTTTCTGCTCTGTACAGCAGAACAGACCAGACATAGCAATTAAAAAGTCTGAAACTGATTTCTATTTTCATCTTTCTCGCTGTAAATATGTGTTTTATAGCCACACAAATGTATTCCTTGCAATTTCAAAAATTCTTTTGATGTCTGTCTCACATCTGGCATAAGCAGTGATACTTTCAGCGTGTTGCCACAGAAAAAAAGTGGAACACGGATTATCTGTTTCCACAGAGCGCAACATTCCAATTAGCCCTGATTCCGTGTAATACTGTGTCAATCGGAAGCCAAGATTCAACCTTTGACCTCGATCGTGGATCCAGATCTACACAGGATTCCACGCGATCATATGTGGTTTGAAAAGGTTGTTCTCCCTCCCGCCAGACACGGTTTGTGGCGGTGCGTTTCCACAGCGATTTCACACGGATCGACACGGCAATGATAATCCGTATCTCAGTCGACACGGGTCGCCAATAAACCGTGTTACTTGTGTTTCCATGGGAAAGTTACACGGTACTGTGTAATACCATGTAACATGTAAGTAGTGTAAATATATCGCATCAGTCTTGGCCTTATTAAAAGTGATAACATTTTGTGTAAAATGATATTTTATAAGTATTACTGATCAGTGATCGCTGATACATGTTTGTATTTCTAAATTATCTTATTTTCATTGCACAAAATTACAGAATCCTAATGGAAATAAATTTCAGTATAGAAACATTCTCACAAAATCTTCTTGACTTTAAAGTTTCAACTACTAATACAATATGTTTCAAATGTTTAAAACCTTTGCACGGATATTAAAACACAAATTGGAAAATGGTTCAAAGAAATGACAGGATGTAAGATAACCTCATGAAAAGGAGAATGCATACTGGACAAAATATATTTATTAGACCAAGGACAAAACTGTTTGAATTACATTATCGAGTATATGGAACAAGGCAGAATTTGATTACTATATATTTTTATTATTGTTTTTTTAAATTTTTCCTGTAAGGGGTGAACATTTAATCCGCATTCCCACACTTCTCTAATCATGATAAACATTTTAAGTACGTCCTGTACGTTAACCCCAAAACTCCTGAATTCACTCAATCTAATAGGCCTCAAAATGGGAGCTAAATGGTTCCCATAGGCAAATAGCTCATTTTTGTAATGTAACCAAATTTATACTTAAAGAGAAGGTTGAGTTCTGGGAAGAGGTGTTTAATAATTTGAGAGCGTTATCATTGTATTATGCAAGTGTGGAAGAACATCAGATAATAAATGTTCCCTAAAAAGAATGGCTCTTCAAATGACTTATTATTTTAAATATACACAACTGTAAAGTAACATCATAAAAATTGGGTTGGATTTTTATGCCACATGGTTGTGTAGTCCCATATACATCTTTCTGTGTACAGTGCTTGTAACTTTACCAAGACCGGGCCAAATTTCTTATCCTTTTGATGATTCCAGAACCTTGCAGTACACACCAATACGTATATGCTTGATGGTCAACCTTTTCTGATCGATTTCACACCGTTTTTATCACAATGCAGTCGCATGACCAGAACTCAACTTTATCTTTAAGTGCCTTGATATTGTGATTGATCCAAATCAATCGCAGTCCTCTGATCAATCGCAAGTTTGCAGTCTCCTATCTCTTATAGTATGCACATAGTTGCGATTGATACTAATCGCGAATAATTTGCGATTAATATCTCTTTATAAGAAAAGCATATGCATATATTACATGTTGCTAGGTAGGAAAGCCATAATGTTTTCCCTACGTACATGTAACAACACACAATATATGCAATTCCACTCTATTGAGATGTACATTCATGCGTAACGGGTGAATAAAACACTTCGTATCGAGGCGCTTCACAAAGGCATACTAATAAATTTGGTTACATTACGAAACTTTCCTATTGTTTAAAGTCCATCAGCACTAGTTTGGCCAGGGGGGTTTAGACCTCTGTGCAAGGTCACTGACAGGTGGTTATCTCATCAAATCAGCTCTCAATTAACATAAGAAAAAAAAAAGGATCATGGGGGGGACCAACAGGCAACGATTAGGCATTGTTTGCTATATAGAGGGCGCAAGTAGCTATAAGTAGTGCAGTGGGGCTTTAAATTAAAAGAAGACACGTTTGTGACTTACAGCATAGGGGGTTCCTTCATGTTTCTCATGCTGCTGCCGTGCCCAGTGGGATTGTCCACCTCCTCTATGTAGAGGGAGTCCTTGCCTGCTTTCCAGGCTTCGTAGCGGTCCGGTTGGAACACCCTCACAAACGGCTCCATGCTGATCTTTACAGAGTCCTTCTGGCAAGTGCACTATGATCAGAAGCAACAGAAAAGGGATGGCAGATGATTGTCAGGAAACTTGTCGTCAGGAATTTCAATAAACCTGAGATTAACATCAGGTTTTCTACACAGAAGGGATCGTTTAACATTGTTAAATCTGAAATACATGGCCCTACGTGTTATCAGTGTCTGTGATGTGGTGTTATATTGAAGCTCTAAAAAAAATTGTGCTTCAAAATGATCAAGAAGTGCCTCAAAAAAGTAAAAAACTTTGAGTGACCTGTTTACCATACTCCTTTTCCCAAATAGACTGTAGCGTTATGAAAACCGTTTGGCAAACGCAAAAATGAACTGTGCAGTACTTTGGCGTCATATTCAATGTAATCCTAATTCCTGATTATCCTGATAAGAGAGTGTAGATACTACCAAAGTACTGAGCTTGCTCTATTGCCACAGTGCTTTACAAATCATATAATATGGAGGCACGATAGCTTAGTTGGTAGAGCAGTGGTCTCGCAAGTGCCCTTTGGTAAGGCATTAATCCTCATTACCAGGTCTCTCGGAGAGGACCTACAGCCGTCGGTCCTCTGGTTGCTTACTAACAAGCATTTATGCTTTCTTAGCAGTCGGTTAAAATAACCACCACTACCACTGTAATATCCCCCCCCCCCCTCCTCCTCTTCCACCTCATCATCATAATCAATTTATCATCACAACTGTCACCAGCATCATCACAACTGTCACCATCACCATCATCACCAGTATCATCACAAATCATCATCATCATCGTCATCATCAGCATCACAAATCATTGTCATCGTCATCACCATCACAAATCATTTTCATCGTCATCACCATCACCATCACCATCATCATCATGACAAATCATTGTCATCATTGTCATCTTCATCATCATCATCACCATCACTGTCATTGTCATCATCATCACCATCACTACCACCGTCACCATCATCAAAAACTTCATCACCACTAGCATCATCAATATAGTCATTACCATCATCATCATCATCATCATCATCATCATCATCATCATCATCATCATCATCATCATCATCATCATCATCATCATCATCATCATCATCATCATCATCATCATCATCATCATCATCATCATCATCATCATCATCATCATCATCATCATCATCATCATCATCATCATCATCATCATCATCATCATCATCATCATCATCATCATCATCATCATCAAGGATATTCAAATACTCGAGGGAGGTAACTTACACAGCTGGCTCTCTTGCCGTAGTTGATCCATCTGAGTGAGGCAAAGTTGGTAGATTCAGCACAGTTATAGCCATGGTTGAACCCAGAGTGATACCCGAAGGGGAACGTCACCATGAACTCTCCTTGCTCTTGGGTAATCTACAAGAGAGAGAGAGAGAGAGAGAGAGGGGGGGGGATAGATAGAAAGGGGGGATAGATAGAGAGGAAGAGGGGAGAGAGAGAGGAGAGGGGGAGAGAGAGACAGACAGAGAAAGAGAGAGACAGAGAGAGAGAAAGAGAGAGACAGAGAGAGAGAAAGAGAGAGACAGAGAGAGAGACAGAGAGAGAGAGAGAGAGAGAGAAGAAAACAAACAAACATGTTCACAAATATGGAAGCAGTTTGGAAGAGGTTAGATGAGCATGTCTAATATTTTATTTTTGGAAAGAAAATCATCTTTGTTGTTGTTGTTGCGAAATGTGAACAATAGTGTCAACAAACTTTTTACAAAATGTGCTGAAACAGCAGACTCTTACTGAGAGTTCTGGGGGGGCGGGGGGTGTTTCACAAAGACTAAGATCGACTTTAAGTTGGACTTCACTATGGCAGGCCATTCATGCCACTAGTTGCCCTCACCATTGGCCTCTCAAATATGATCTTTAGATGACGTTTTTTCCTTCAATAATTAACTATCAAATTCTGTAGATTTGTGACCGCGATTTGTAAGTCCTTTGAGAGACGATGCCAGTAAAAGGCGAGAGCAAACAGTGGCATGATTGGCCTGCCATAGTTAAGTCCAACTTAAAGTCGATCTTAGTCTTTGTGGAACACCCCCTGGTGGGCTCATCAAGCAGTTCACTGCATCACAGACTGACTGACTAAATGATTACCTTACAGGCTGTGATCAAATATTTTCCATCTTACATTACTGGATAGATGGGCATCTTCTTTCATATATTTGCACACTGTATATGTACAAGAGTATGAACATTAGATATTTCTAAGAGATATTTCCTATACACAAAAAAACAATGCTTCACTCTCTTCAGAGCACTAATTCCACTTCCTATCTAACTAATAGCACACGGAATTGAGGCAGCATTCCACCCATTATTAAAGATAAAGTTGAGTTCTGGTCATGCGATTGCATTGTGAAAGAAACGGTGTGGAATCTATCAGAAAGGTTGATCATCTAGTATATAAGTACTTGTGTGTATTGCAAGGTTCTGGAATCATCAAAATAATAAGAAATTTGGCCAAATTTTGGCAAAGTTACAAACACTGTACACAGAGTGATGTATATGGGACTGCAAGAACACGTGGCGGAAAAATCTGTCCCGATTTTTTTCGATGTTTCATGTCATATTTAGAATATGAAGGCATTTGAAGAGCCATGCTTTTCAGGGAACATGTTTAATCTGATGTTCTTCCACCCTTGCACAATAACAATGATAACGCTCACAAATTATTTTTTACCTCTTCCCAGAACTCAACCTTCTCTTTAAGAAGTAGCCTTTGAACATAAACCAACTGTGATAAAACCTAAAGGAGCTACTTGTATGCTTCTGTGTAAAAGCTACTCACCTTGTTAAAAGGTATGGAATACTTCTTCAAGATGTGCGGGGCGATGATGGACATCTTGTGCCTCAGGAAGTTGGAACAGATCTTGAAGTTACCAGGGAAGAAACCTATCATGCAATCACACAATTCAAAAGAAGACAAGCCACATTAACATTTGAACAACATTGGTGTCTTTAAAGAGTTAAAATCTGGGCCCCGTTTCCTAAAACTTAAAGCCATACTGCACTACTTATAGCTACTTGCTCCCTCTATATTACAAGCAATGCATAATCGGTGACCATTGGTTCCCCATGATCCTCTTTTTTGTATGTTAATTGAGAGCTGATTTGAGATAACCACATGTCCAGTGACCTTGCAGGGTAGTCTAATCCCTCCTGTTCACTAGTATTGATGGGCTTTAATATCAATAGCAACAAGACCAAGCTCTGTAATTATTAGGATCTCTGTCCAGTAGTGCCGTACGTGTTTGTGCCATCGAACTGGATCGACCAAATCAATTGATTCATAATATATATATGCAATATTTTTTCCCGTAACATGAGAGTAATTTTAATAGTTTCATACTATTAATTAAATGTAATGTTAACTGTTATGGTATAATTGTTTTAAATGGGGGCACGCTACAAGAGTCCTATCTCGCACCCTGGGGCAACGTGTCTGACACGGCCGGTTGTAGCAACTACTCCGAAGATCAAGATTACATTAACCTTGATCTAAGGAGACATGAACGAACGAATATCAATAACAAGTTCCGATAACTGTTATAAGCTACTGAAATTGTGGCATCCGTTTGGCTGAGAGAAAAGTTATCATAGAAATTTAGCATTTGTTATTGATAACAAGTTTTATGAAACAAGGCCCTGGTCATGCAGTTGCAATGTTGAAAGAAACTGTCTATACATTGGTGGTAAAGTGTTTATGTATTATTACCCATATCAGACATCTGAGCAGTGGTTTTACAAAATCATATTAGAGTTGTTTGTAATCCTAAAAGAAGCTAATCAGTGAATATGAGACCATATTCGCCTATGGGCTTTACGTGTTAAAAAAGCAGGAAATAAAATCTCATATTCACCGGGCTGTATCTTGTCATTTTCATTGCGCATCTATTATGCGTACGAGAACCTGAGCACTTTGCGCGCACTCTATTGTGACGTAATAATCACACCATATTAGGTACACTGCAGTGTATCAACAAATTTGTCAAGCACTGGATGCACAGTGCTGGTATGACAAAGTTTTTTTCAGTTCTATGAGATTGTCATGGTTGATTTATGTATTTGCTCTAGATGTCTGATTTGGATAATAATAACAATATTGACTGGCTTAACTTTCGGGAGATACCACATATTGCCCTCACAAGACCCATATACCCATGATATAGTATAGTATTAATGACTGCTTTGAGAGAAATAGTTGTTTTATTACGCTCAAGGGAAGGTTAGAATTGTGCTATTCCCCGAGGCTTGCCGAGGGGAATAGCCCAATTGTAACCTTCCCGAGAGCGTATGAAAACAACTATTTCTCGAATATTAAAGCAGTCATTAATACTTTTATATGCCGAAAAAAAATAGACTAAAAAATGAAAAATTAAAAATATTTATCATTTTGTCGAAGACGGGATACGAACCCTTGCGTACAACAAGAGGTGTACCGAAAACCAACGCTTAGACCACTCGGCTATGGCCCGCCGTTAACATGCTTGGCAGTTTTCTCCAATATATACATTAAAATGGATTGAAACCGGCTTCGCGTGTGATGAATGCTTCGCAAAAGCTCCATATACGGACTCTTCTTTTACTTTTGCAATGCATATTGGCACGAACTTAGATCAAGATCTATCGGCAGATGTTGTTTTTTTGTTTTTGGAAGTTTATTTTCGTCTTCATGTCAACAATGCAAGATAAAATTGTCGGTAAGATCGATCGAGATTCAATTGTATTGAAATTACCGACCAATCCTTCGCACACATACGGCATCCTCCATCGCTCAAACCATTTTTTAACATGTAAACCTATGGGGTAACCATGGAGGCTGACCAACTGTTTTTAATAACCATGGTTATTAAAAATATTGAAATGTTTTATGCATGGTTACCGAGAATTTTACAGGAACAGTTGAAGTTTATGAATGCAATTCGACCAATCAGATGGCTGGATTTCTTAAGTGAGGTATATAATGGTGAATAAGTACGTAGTATCTGATTATAGCCACAAGGGCGTTAGTTCTTACTTGAAGAATACGAATTATCGCCCTTCTGAATCTCAACAGTCGATTGTGTAAAAGTATACTTGTACAACGAATGTCACATAAAAATAATGGAAAATGGAAGTGAAATTTAAATTATGTACATAAGCAGTCATCATTTATTGTGAGAAGAGTGACTTTTTCAGGCTATATGACTTTGTTAGAAGAAACAAATTGCTGGATATCAAACAGAAATAAGGAAAGAGAAAGCAGAGCACATTTTGGAGGGGAAAAAAAAATCACTATCAGGATTTCCTTCGAGTAACATCATGTTGCGTAAGGGTGGATTAACGTCTTCCTTACAAAAATGTTGTAATAGGACACAGTGACTTCAAGCAATATGATGGCAGGATGTTTGGAAAACAGTGCAATACTAATCACAAAAATTATATCAATATAAACAAATATCCAAATTCCCATTAACTAACATAGCCAAGGCACAGATAGAAAAGCTATATATTTTTAAGGAGACATTTAAAAAAAGAAAACTGTCCTAATGTTGGACTGATGAATTTTAATAAGTCAGAACGAGTCAGGAGAGCTGAGGTATTTGTTTCCAGTTCATCGTGACTGTGCCATGGACCAGTGATGTCCGGGTGGTAGAGTCGCTGCCTGGCCAGCAGTAGATGGCAGGTTCAATTCCCGCTGGTTCCAAGATTTTATCTGACTTGTCTTCAATTACGAGATTGAGCACGTAAAATTCATCTACCAGGTGCAAGCCAAAACTTTCTTTTCAACAAAGTATAAGCTTTTTGTGCATGCCGTTTGAACTTTATATGGTGTTCACACGTAAGTGAGTGACAATGATGATATAGAGTGTGTGAAAGCAACTGTTAAAGAAAGTGAAAAACATGCTCAAAGATAGAACCTGTCTTGAATATAGTTTCTCATTGAAACCTGTACTAAAGGGACCTGTCAATAAAGATCACCTGCCTATAAAGGCCACTTTTCATGTTTCTATTGAGAGGTGTTTCACTGTATATACCTTTGTTTGGGATAAGTTTAGAAGGGGTATTGTTTGAAATTCTGCAATGCTACTGAGAGAACAAAAATTGTACCTACCGGTAGTTACCATACCTTTTTTCTTATTTTTTAAATCATGATTACTAATCATGTTTCACTGCCACTGCAAAATTTCATCTCAATTTGCTATCCCCAGAGCTGCCAACCTCAACTTTTCAAAATAAAAAACCTATTTTTGATCTTTTTAAGTACTTTCTTTTTGTTAGACTGTGTTCGTCGACATTTTGAAGAATTATGCACGAGTATATTTTACAAACATTTTGTTGAATATGCAAGAGTTCGTCATGAATGATCGTTCAATGAACGGCATGTAAATGTATTTTTATGGACCATTGGTTGAACTTGCATGATTTTATTTTGTCATGACTGGTGTGTTCAATGAACCAATGAACATCTACAGGTATAATGAATACAATTTGTCGATGTGAAATGCTTGTAGGATACTTTGCAGAAGAGAATGTTGAAAATGGCACACACACAAAATACATTAGCACATTCAAATTTTTGGGAAAAATCATTTTTGTTTTTGTTGTTTGAAAATCATATTTTTAAGGACAAATCATACTGTCGTACTTTCTTCTAAAAATTGTACGAATACGATAAAATCGTACGAAATACGATAAAATCGTACTGGTTGGCAGCTCTGTATCCCCCATGCTTAAAGAGTGCAGCATGGTATCTCTCACATCATAGCGACAGCTCAATATGATAAAATCATGATTCAAAATATATTGCATAAAAACAGCATAGGCACACATACCCCATGGCCCTTCTAAATATGTTCCTTCTGATATTTTAATAACTATATCATTAATAAACTGAACAGTAACATTAAAAAATGTAAAATGGCGCGCATTTCATATTTCATTCTCATTTTTTTTCTTTTCAATGATTTCAACACTGAATGGAAAGCAATATAAGGAGTGTGCGCATACCCTCTGCAAGTCTCTCCAAACGTGTCCCATGTTCAATGGGGATAGCATACCTAGATTAACACACAGAACATAAGAGGTTATACACATCAAATAGAACAAACATTGAACGCCTATGAAAGGGTAGAGGCTGCACTGATCACTTGTAACTTCAAGACCCGATGAGAGTTTAACCTTTGACCCATCAAATGCTATCTTAGATCTTCTGACTGGCAGAGTAATGCTGAAGGGAATGGCTCAGAATTAATTTGCAAGTCTGCTTAAGTAAATAGAGTACCGAAGCTGTGACGTCATTAAAATCTATTTTTAGAATTTCTCAATTTTTTTCTTCATTTTCCGAAAGAGCATCAAAAATAATGTCCAAATGTTGAAAACCAGTTGAATATGTTAAGTATTGCCTGAGATATGACCATCTGAATGAATGTATTTCCTATAGGAACTCAGTGTTATATGCTCTGGCTCTTAATGGTTAGGAGCCAGAGCAGAGAACACTGAGTTGCTTTCGGAAAATGAAGAAAAAATTGAGAAATTCTAAAAATAGATTTTTGATGATGTCACACTTCACTACTCTATTACCAGGTATGATGTGCCGAGTGTCACAATGATGTTGGAGCGAAACAAATCATTGATTAATACTTTCAGGGCAATGGATATCTGAGAAGAAGTAAAGCAGGGGCCCGTTGCATATAACTTATCATTGATGGTAACTTTGCCATCAATGGCAACTACCATGGTAACAGGGCTCAACAGCCAATCAAAATCAAGGTTTCCATGGCACAGGTAGTTACCATTGATGGCAAAGTTACCATCAATGGTAAGTTTTGTGCAACAGGGCCCTGATCAGTTCATTTCTCACCCACCCAATCCATTCATACGTTTGGTGAATCTGGAACCTTTTGGAACTGAACTTCTGAAACATCAAGACTAGCAATGCCTCAAAGCGTTGTTTAGAACAGACATGAAGTTACAATGGCTATCAGTGACGCCCCTACCCTACCACGGGTCACATAGTACACTTACCAGTCGCTAACCTCTCCAGGCGTTTACCATGCTCAGGAGGTATAGCATACCTGTTTGCATAACAGCCATTTTAGGGAACAAGAAGTTGGAAAAATGTTTAGAGGTAGATTATTCATACAAGCCAGTCTTATACAGAGCTGCGACTGATCAAAAATGGATTGCAAGTCTTCATATCAATGCATAATTTCAATCACCTGACTTTTTCAAGTAGGGTTGTGACCGATATAAAAACTTGTAATTTAGATCGATCGCAACTATTTATAAGACTAGGTAAAAATAGCAACATTCATGACAATTTTCAGTATGTAAAGTCTAAAGATAGGGAGAATTTCCACTGAAAAAAAACGTTGTAGGATTGAAAGCCTAATATATTCTTTGATTTTTCTTTGGAAGTTTACTTTGAACAAATAACTGATGGATAAATCAATTCAAATAGGCAGACACCAGCTGGAAGTCTTCCTTTGTTTGTTACCCTCTTTACTGATTACAAATCAAAAGTAAATCAATACAACAACTCAATAATCAACTTCAGAGTTAACTGAATTAATCCATGTGAAACATCTTCAGCAATGCTGTCCATGATTTATTTGTAATCATTGTCATGGGAGTTATACCATCCCTACAAGACTACCGTAATCGATATGATGACTAGGAAAACCAAAGTATGTGGTCAATCTTTTAATTCCTTGATAGAATGACAAATGAAAGTCTAGCTCATCCTACATTGAGGTCCTATTGGGTAATGAAGGTAAAATAAATAGTATACAAAGCCTTTTCCTTGGGACAGGGATTCCAGTTAGAATTGATCAGAGGGCCTGAAAATCACCTAGAATGAGCTAGTTAACAGCCTAAACTATGGTATAAAATATCTCACCAGGGCCTGAATTCAAGCTATTGCCTGAAAACTGGCATCCCTGCTTGGGGAGGGGGGGGGGGGGGGGGGGGGGGGGGGGGGGGGGGTGATTTCTTATTCCTCACTCCAACGAACCCTTATCCCCTATCATGTCTCGCCATCATTTACTGTATAATTACCAAGACTTTGGGGCACCGTAATGGAGATAGTTAATGCTGTACAGATCCAAGTCTTCGGTGTGCCAGGCGAATGTTGTCTTCCACATTCCAAAGTAGAGGTAGGCAGTGTTCACACCTTCTATCTTCACACCTGAAAAAAATGAGAAATGGGATTAATGCTACAAAGAGAACACAGCTCACAAAGTCATAGGGTCATACTGTAGGAAGAATCAAAACATCTTCACCAGTAATAGACACTGTTAATACCATCTATCTTCACACCTGAAAAAAACAAGAAATGGTATTAATGCTGAAATGGGAACACAGTTCACAAAGTCATAGGGGGGTTACTGTAGGAAGAATTAAAACATCTTCACCAGTAATAGTCATGTGTGTATTTCTTTCCCCATGATGATAGCATTTAAATAATGCAAAGAAAGCACAGGGGGACTCCCTACAATATATCATGGATAACACTTTGTAACAGGTACTCTAAAAGATTTTCTTGAGTAATTAATTTCGAAAAATTGGCATTGACAACATTTTGTGTGTTGGAACAAATGGGAGAGTTTCCCAGCACTACATCACAGTGATATTACTGATTCAGTCCATCTGAAATTCCTACAGGTATAAAAAATACAACTTTTTAAAATTCATAACCTTCTTATTTTGTATCCAATTTGGTTCACACTGTCACCAATCTCCTTCACTGATTTCTCAGTCTTCTTTAAAGCCCATCTGTACTAGTTTACAGGAGGGATTAAGACCACCCTGCATGGTCACTGATGGGTGGTTATCGCACCGCATCAGCTCTCAATTAACTTAAGAAAAAGAGGATCATATGGGACCAATGGTCACCGATTAGGATTGTTTGCTATATAGAGGGCGCAAGTAGCTATCAGTAGTGCAGTGGGGCTTTAAATACAAATGGCTCATAATAAGGTTGGATTTCTCATTGACTTGCAGATCTTTTATCCAGTGTAACAGCAGCTGATACAACTTGTTAGATCACCAGGGCCATGTTTCATAAAACTTGTTATCAATAACTACTGCTGAATTTCTATGCCAAATTTGCTCTCAGCCAATCAAAATGCCACAATTTCAGTAGCTTATAACGGTCATTGTAACTTGTTCTTGATAACATGTTTGATGAAACAGGACCCAGGATCATATGGCTTATTGCTCCTACCTTGCTCTTCCTCGATAATATCCAAGACTGTATTCAAGCGGTTGATGTTCCAGGTGTCCACACCTTTATCGTAGACCGAGCCCGAGATGTCGGCCCCGTAGATGGGAGGGTTGTAGGTGATGTTCTTCCAGTACTTTCGCTCCAGATCTTCATAGCCAAAGTGGGGTGGGGTCTGATACCTACCAAAATGGAGTCAAAATTAAATAGAAACATTAAAACAAGTGCATGCTGAAGTGCTTATAAAATACTGAACAAGAACTTCCACACACATACGTACGTCAATATCTTTTCTCTTTGATCTCATGCATGTACGCCATTTATGAATACTATGACTACTCCACCCAAAGTGGTTCCTAATTGTAACCAGAAAGCCTCTTTGTATTTCACCAACAAACCGACAACTAATGTATGCATTCCTGTCTTGAAAATAGATGCTTTAAACTAAAAAAAACTCAATGCACATGTTCCAGCAAGTATTTGCGGTTGATTCAACTCCCCTGGCTAAAATCAGCCTTTATTTTCTGAGCTGTTCCTAGCTTCAAGTAATCCTGTTTATCTTGATTTCTACTCGTCCATAAGTGGCATTGTACTATTCAATATTGTCAAACTCTTGGAGCTCAGGGGGGCATTTCACAAAACTTGTCATCAGTGACAAATGACAGTTTTTGTTATAAGCTACTGGAATCCTTGCTTCTGATTGGTTATCAGCAGATTTGTCACTGATTTTTGTCATTTGCCATTGAAAAAAATGCTTTGTGAAACGGGTCCCAGTACTCACTTTGCACTGTTGGCTAATTTAGCAAACTCCTTGACAGTCATGGCCTTCTTCTGGATGTTATACTGTGTGTAGAGGCCTTGATGACCCATGACCTCCTGCTGGATCGGTGCAGGAATGATCAAGTCCAGATCATCGTAGTTCTTACGAGGCACAAACTCCTTCGGTGGAATCACCTGAAATACAACAGAAGCAAGAGGGAGATGTTTAATAGTTTACATGCCTATTTGATCTGCTTTTCGTAAGTCATACATTCTTTCAATGTACTCTCTCTCTCTCTCTCTAGTGCCATATCGATTGACTTTGGCGATCATGATGTTCCACAACCCTTGGCTCCTAGCCTTCTCTAATACGGTAGAACCACTCCCAGTTCTTTCACTCCTCTCTCTTCTAACAATTTCTGGAGACTGTCCAATGTACATAATACAGAATTAGAAATATATTTAGGCCCTAAAAATGACTCAATAGTAGAGAAAACATTTCCTTTCATAACTTTGATGGACTGCTAGTTTTGTTTTAATGTTTTTTTAATAACATTTCTCGGCCAATTAATTGATTTACATCCTGGGTCTTATTACTCATTATCACACCCATAAGGTGTTCTGCGTCAGTCACACCTTTGCGTATTTGGCTTGCGTATTGCTGCATATTTTTGGCAAGCCGTTTTTACTTTTGATTTTCTGTCGTAGAGCAATGGTAATTCTTGATATCAAGATCTCAATTTCTTGATATCAAGAACTCATTTTTGGATATCAAGAACTCATTTTGGATATCAAGAATTCAATTCTTGTCATTTCTTGATATAAAGAGATAGGAATAAATGTTAAAACGGCTTGCCATAAATACGCAGCAATACGCAAGCCAAATACGAGAATGTGTGACTGGGGCATAAGACTACTGAGGATGAACAAACCGGAATCTGCGAAAAATGCGAAAAATTGAACAGCGTCAATTTGTTTTCTTCTTCTCTTTTCTGCTTCCATTTGAAATTGTTAATACAACTTGAATTCGGCGTAAATATTCATAAATGAATGACACACGCCTTTAAGACTAAAACAACAACAATACAGGGGTGATAGTGAGCACTAAAAAAAAAAGGGTTTTTTGTTTTCCCCTCAACGACGCCCCCTTGAGTAAAAAAAAGAAGAGGATCCGCGGAGAAAAACTTGCATCTAACAACATTCCCCCCTTTCGAGTAAGAAAATTGGGAAAAAATTTGGGAAAAAATGGGGCAAAAAAGGAAAGAATAGAGAAAATAAGGGGGAATCAGGAAAATCAGGATATTAATAGGGAAGTAGAAAAAAGTCTGGTAAAAAAAAAAAAAAAAATGGATTTTTTTTTTTTTTTTTTTTTTTTTTTTTTAAATCTGGAAGAAAAAAAAATTGGGAAAAAATTGGGAAAAATTAAAAAAAATCAGGTTTTTTCAGGCCTGACAACAAAGCGTCTTACCTTGGCGACACCGGCTCTGTTCGCACCCTGGGACTCCATGTAGGAGATGTAGCCAGAGAAGTCATTCATCTCCTCCAGGGTAGGCCGAAAGACCATGATCCTGGGCACGTTCTGGGATGACGCTGTCAGACTCATCTTGGAACAACTACATAGGGCTGTGGAACATAGAAAGACAAAGGAACAACAATTTAGTTACTGGCATGGCAGCGACTGGCATGGCAGCGACTTTTTTTTCAACCTCTGTGACCTTTGGCCTTTGACCTCTTCCATCCACAATCTAATCACTTCATCCCATGCTAATAAATACTTGATCCAAGTTTAGTTAAAATTTGCTCAATGGTTCTCGAGTTATCACAGTAACAAAAAGCGGGATGGACAACCATAAAAAATAATGTCTTCGGCACCACGACATGAAAAACGTTTTATAAAGTTTCCTATAATATACAACTTTTTACGGTCATATTTACATCTTTACATCGCAAGAATGAAATTTTTGTGGTCTTTATCAGTCCAAAAATTGAAATCATAAACAATTTGAAAATCTGATCTGCACATACACATTTTTTTTCTGAGTCAAATGGCACATGTAATTTTCTGATATGTCTTGATTTTTAAAAAGAAACGAAAGACCATAGAAAGACAAAGAGGACGGACCATACTGCCTAGGTAATAGTGCTAGGAGTTAGCATGTAATTTCATATCCGTGTACACAGGCAGTTTATCCGTTCGTGTACTTGTGTAAACGGTTATGAAGTTTACAAAAAACAAAAGCAGTAATTCAGCCACGTAAGACCAGCATACATGTACATGCCTGCCAAATTTGTTTGACTTCACAAAAATGTGATCCTTAATTCTTTATTGATTTTCTGACTTCTCATGATGACAAGAATTCAAAATCCTTTGGAGAAACGGGATTTAATACATGTAAAATACGTATTAGCAACGAGCCTAGACACTTTTATTCTTTCAATTCAGTAATTTATTACGGTATCCCTCCACCCCCTTCAAATAATGTTAAATGAGGATTCGCTACATCGTCCCCAACGCTATATGTACTAAAACAAACGGACAACGGAAACCATTGCGCAAATCACGCTCTGGGAAAACATTGCACATGCTCTTCTTGTCCTAGCTGGCTTGTCTGTTGGACCAAGGATTTTCTCAGAAAAGTTGTTACTGAACACGAAACCATCGCGCTCATTGGTAACTTTCGCACGGCTGCCGACGGAGCTTCATTTCATCACATGCATTCTTTACATTGGTTTCCTCATTCCCACTCAACAAATATATACGTGTGGACGCTAGCGCATATGACATAATGAAGCACGCCCAATGGCGGTGCGTAAGTGCAGTAACGCCATATTTTATTCAAACTAGCTTCACATATGATACAAAATATTTATACAGTCTGTGACACAGTTTAAATGTCTTTGAATTTCAGTGTTGAGAAACTAGGGTAAATCACATTGTTTATCATAATAATATCCATCCACAGGAACTACTTTACTGATAGTGGACAGTTAGAAAATATACTTTCAAAATTTGTTTTTTTATCAATTTGGAAAAATAGACACATTAGGGAAACATTAATTTGCTTGAATAAATTATATGTTACACAAAGAAACAACAAATGATAGATAATCATGAGCGTGTATTCTAAAAACTACAATAACATGAACTCTTGTCCACAGCCAAAATGTGTCCAAGCCTGGAGTGCACTACAAGAGCTTCAAACAAAATTTATGCTTCACTTAAAATTCGATATCATATCACATTACCCCTATATAATTATTTTTAAGTGGATGAAATGCGTTTTGTGAATTCTGCTTTACGGATATATCTTGTATGAGTGTCAATAAATGATAAACAAGTATAAAAACATCAAATCTTTCATCGTCAGTTCAGTATGCACAACCAACCGACCCATTACAAACGCATTGTGAGTGGGACGCCCATGACGTGGGTACGGGACGCGTACGTTCAACGGCAATTCATGAAACACACACACACTCGTACACAAAACATAATCAACAAAATTCTCACCGACGGAGACCCACGAAAAAACATACGAACAAAACCTCCTAATCATTCTCTAATTGACACAAAATTAGCAATCTTTAAGTAAAATAATGTGTATCATGACCAATAACATTTGAATCGGATCCGAAGCTAGCGTACTTTCCCAGTTTACTTGAAAGGTTTATTGCCAAACTTGAAGTAAAAAAAAACATTTCTCGAGAAGGCTGGTCCGCAGCTGAAGGATGGGGGTCTACGTGCAAATCTACGAGCGATCATGATGGGGAAGTCCACTTAGGAAGAAACGCATATCAAATCATCACAAATGCTCATAAGACAAAACAATTAGAGTCTGATTTCACATCGACATTAATTTCATGCTTAAGCTCTACCAAAAAATTGTATTCATACCTTTACAAAATCAAACAATCAAGCTGAAAAAGGAAGAAATGTCATCTCTTCATCAGCCGAAGCGACGTCAAAAATTGAAGCTGATAAATTTTCGTAACCGCAGTACACACAACTGTAACCGTGTTCTTACATCAAATAATGTAGTTCGCGTACTAGTAATTAATGTCTCTCCATTTTCTGACCATACAGATTCGCTTCTTGTCCCCCTTGTCCATCCCCTCAGGCGCGTAGCCAGGGGGGGTGGGCGGTGGGGGCGGTCGCCCCCCAAAAACGCCGGCCAAAAAAAAAAGAGAGAGAAAGAGAAGAAAAAAAGTAAGAGGACGTAGGAAGAAAAAGGGAAAGGAGTCGAGAACGGTACAACGAATCGTCTTCTTTCTCTAATAATTTAATGAAACGTCAAAGCTTCCGATCGGAACGGGGTAAATTGAGTTCAAATTAAGTATTAAGAGTCGAGAACGGAACAAAGAATCGTCTTCTTTCTCTAATAATTTAATGAAACGTCAAAGCTTCCGCGCTTCGAAAGAGGGGGACTGAATACAGATAAGGATTAAAGGTCGGGAAAGGTACAACGAATCATCTTCTTTGTCTAATAATACGTCAAAGCTTCCGCGCTTCGCGCAGGAGAAGGGGGAGGGACTGAATTCAGACAAGGATTAAGACTCGAGAACGGTACTTCGAGTTGTCTTCTCTCTCTAATAATTTAATGAAACAAAGTTTCTGCGCTTTGCACGGGAGGGGAGAAACTGAATTCAGATAATTCAGATTCGAGAACGGTACATCGAATCGTCTTCTTTCTCTAATAAATTAATGAAACGTCAAAACTTCCGCGCTTCGCGCGTGAGGGGGACTGAATACAGACAAGGATTAAGAGTCGAGAACGGTACTTCGAGTCGTCTTCTTTCTCTAATAAATTAATGAAACGTCAAAACTTCCACGCTTCGCGCGTGAGGGGGACTAAATACAGATAAGGATTAAGGGTCGAGAAAGGGACAACGAATCGTCTTCTTTGTCTACTAATACGTCAAAGCTTCCGCGCTATGCGCAGGAGGGGCGGACTGAATTCAGACAAGGATTATCAGTCTAGAAAGGTACAACGAATTGTCTTCTTTCAAAGCTTCCGCGCCCTCCCTGCACCCACCCCTAGGGAGCGCGCTACGCGCGCTTTTTAAGTGATTCGCACGCTTCGCGTGCTCACTACCGCCCCCCCCCTAAAATGAAATCCTGGTTCAATTCAATTCTAATATAATAATTTTATTTTAAAAATGAAGAAGAAAGAGTAGGCCTAGCTACCTTGAATTCAAATTTCGGCCCCCGTCAGTGCAATATGGGAGATGCAGGCAGAGGCGGCGCTCCCGGGGCAGGGGGAGGGGTGGCAGAATCCCCCCGATATTTCAAGTACCCTAAAAGTGCCCCTTTATAACTTTCATTGTAAGAAGTACCCCTCATAGGAAAAGTGCCCATTTTACTTTGTAAAAGTACCCCCTTCCCCTTTGCACCTCTGTTTAGTGCCCCTTTTATTTTGACACGTGCCCCTTTTCCTTCGCCAACTTCCCATTTTCCTTTACAGTTATAGTGTCCATTTTCCACTTTCTCACTCCTTTTTAATCTCTACAAGTAAGTCCCCTTTTAAGTACGAGAACTTTGAGAAGTGTCCCTTTACACTTTTGATAAGTGCCCCATTCACCTCTGAAAACTGCCCTATTCTAATCTGAGAGGTGACCCTTTTACTTTGACAAGTGCCCCTTAATTTCCTTTGTAAGAAGTGCCCCTTCCCCTTAACTACCTCTTTTTAACTCGGATAAGCGCACCTTTTATTTTCAAACGTGTCCCTTTTCATTCTCATAAGTGCCCCTTTTCATCTCTGGTAAATAACCCTTTTCGGGTAGGTCTACGAGAAGTTACTTCTTTTCATTTCAGATAAGTACCCCCTTCACCTCCGATTATTGCCTGTATTCAAATCTGAGAGATGTTCGTTTTACTTTGACAAGTGTCCCTTCCCCTCCTGATAAGTGCTTTTTTCATCTCTGATGAGTGCCCCTTTTCAACTCAAATAACTGCCCCTTTTATGTTTGAGTTTGAGTTAGAGTTTATTGGTTTCACATTCCACATGCAGATATAATACAGATAACAAAATATACATAACAGACATATTGTTTCATAATCCAACAAATGATTATAGTAATTGACAAAGTAATCAGACTACAAAGTTACATGGCATCACATTTGTATTTGACAACTAATATCATTTAAAGGAAACGCAGACAAGAAAAGTACAAAACGTGAAATGTGCCCCTTTTCCTTTCTAATAAATGCATTTTTTCATTCTTATAATTGCCCCTTCCCCTTTTCATAATTATCCCTTTCATCTCTGATAAATGCCCCGTTTATTTTAACATAATGTGCCTATTTTTCTTTTTGATAAAAGCCACATCCCCCTTTCTTTAAAAGCCCCCTTTTTACTTCTGATAAATGCCCCTATTGAAATCTGATCGGTGCCTCTTTTCTTGCATCAAATGCACATTTCCTTCATTATAATTGCCCCTTTTGTTATCCTCATAAGTGTCCCTTTTCATATCTGTTCAGTGCCCCTTTTCAAATCTGTTAATTTCCGTGTTATCAAATTGTCCTCACTAATTTGTTTGCTAGAAAATAAATATTCAGACCATTGCACACAACGTCAAAGTATGATGCTTAAGCAATATCTGGTATCATGTATGTAGAGAAACCCTGCCCCCCCCCCCCCCACTCAGTGTTATTTAGGGTACGCATATGCTTGTTCCCTCTTTTTAAAAGCACCACCTATCTGAGGACTGCCAACATTTTTGGACCCCCCTTTCGCGGGCTTTTCCTGCCTTGGAGACCCCGCTAAATCAGAAAAAATTCGGAATAATTTCTCAGGAGTCCAAAGAGATGAGAGAAAAAAGAAAAAACACCCCCTTTTTAAAGAAATCTCCGGGTGAAAAGTAAAAAAAACACCCCTTTTTTTACAATTCTCAAGCCGGACTTTGTCGCACGAAAAGTGCCCCTTTACCGGACATTTTGGCAACACGCATGCGGTCATTCCGACCTCTGAGTGGGGGGGGGGGGGGGGGCCGGGAGAGAAACAAATATAGAAATCATCCCTGATACTGTAATCATAATGTAGGGGTATTTAGGCCTACCAATGTCTACAAAATTGTATATTTTCGCTTTGAAATTTCCCTTTGTAGGTGCCCCTTTTTCCCTCCAGAAGTGCCCTTATTGTTGGTGTTCCCCTACTTTAGAAGTCACTCCGCCGCTCCTGGGGGCAGGGGAAGGGTAACGGGGAGAGGAGTGGAGTAAATGTTTTTAGAAGGATTGAGAATTTGAGAGAAAAAATATATATATGCATAATTTAGTCCCTGTATCAATAAATCGAAAAAAGAGATTGTTTTTTCATTAATCGGACTTTCTCTCTGTCATTATAAGAGAGAGAGAGTGTGAGAGAGAGAGAGAGAGAGAGAGAGAGAGTGAGAGAGAGAGAGAGAGAGAGAGAGAGAGAGAGAGAGAGAGAGAGACCCGACATGGACGTTCATCCTACCCCCCCCCCCTCCTTGGCAGAAATATCTTACTCTATATGACTTGCCTGGGGAAAATACTGGAATAAGCGGAGGGGGGGGGGGCACATGCCCCCAACATTTCCAAGATCGGTTGAAACTTTGTAGACCCCTCCCCAGGACGTCGATCAATTACATTTTTGTGCCCCCCCCCCCCCCCAAACATCAAACTCTGGCTACGGGCCTGCTCATAATGGGCCTAGCTACCAATTCGATTTCTGTCAATGATTTCAATTTAATTTTTTATTTTACAATTGGGTAAATGAGACGTTCATCATGTCAACCTATATACGAGTCGAGAAATCAGAAGCTTTATATTCCTCGCAAAATATAAACACACTGACAACTTTTCAAAATGAAGGCCAAATTTATAACATTCGTTGGACCATGGACTAACCATACTAACGGGCCACTCAAGAAAAATGTAGCTCTATATAGTACAAGTTTGTCTACTTGTGTTCCGGCGGTCGTTGTTCCATGAGATATTTTCCCCGGATACTTTCCATGGCATTGGGCTGGGGTGACATGAAGATGTTTTTTGACAAGGTTTTATATATAATATTGATTCTTAAATGTTACAAGCACGTAATGAGTATCATTATATCGAGGGGGCGCTGCGGTACGTGTCGGAAAAACACTGGACTATAATCCGGTGTATGGATCTGCGTGAAAACAATGTCAAAGGGTGGGGGTTACAATAGGATCGGATCTTCTTCGTTTTAAGATGACTTCTCTTTACTCTTTCTTTATCATCATCTCCAGCCATATTTTGATTGCGAGGGGCACATTACGCCCCCATGTTCAGCCCCCCCCCCGAAGCTACCCACATTATGCTGATTTACTCGTGATTTACTCATGCAGGGACATCGTCCCTTCACATATAGTTCGAGAAGTGAGAGGAAAACCAATGGAGCCACACGCGCCAGACTTATGAAAGTGATTTACTATCAATTTTATGAAGGATGGCCCTCCACCCAGGTTGGAATCGGCGCCCCTGAATAGCCATGTACATGCTGTAGAGCAGGGTTAGGAAGGAAAATCATCTGTGGTGTCCATCACGTTTTCCATCTGTGGAATATTTTGATATGTCCTTAATAATCAATAAAAATGAAAATTACATGGGGACCTTTTTTAACAAATTAAAAGTTACCGTTTTCAAAATATTTTCATGTTTTGTGAGTAAAGTTATTGGAGCTACACTAGACATAATTCTTTCTAAGATATATAGCACCCTAAAAGGGGATGGTCAGCGACCCAAGCTAGAGGTCCTCGACGTTTCGAGCAGTATATGTTCTGAACTTCTGATCGTCTTCAAGAGAATGACAGAGGCATATTCATGCTTACATACAGTACAACATTACATACATTACAATGACATATCCATATGATCTATGCCTTCCTTAAAGACATAAATTACTAAGCTGTTGCCGATTGTTATATATCTGTTAACCCTTTCATGCTGAATTAACGGGTGACTCTAGTATCAAGTTACATGTAAATTCTGTGTCTGGCTTTATCTCCCTTTATCTCTTTCTCTTTCTCTCCGTCTGTAAATTCTAAAGCTTAGTCTTTCTCTCTCTGTCGACCCCCCCCCCTTATTTCATGCATTTTCTCTTCATTCCAGACTGTTTCTTCTCTGTCCTTCAGAAGCTGCAGTTTGTCTGGCTACCTCTCATCTTCTCTCTCTCTTTCTCTCGTTTTATGTATTTTTCTATTTCAGTTTTTTTTTTCTGTCCTTCAGTATCTCCCACTCTCTCTCTCCTCTTCTTTTATCACCTGCATTTTCTTTCGCTCACTTTACCTCCCTCCCTCTCTCATTTACAACTTCTCTCTCTCTCTCTCTCTCTCTCTCTCTCCTCTTCCTTTTCCACCTCTCCTTTCTCCTCCTGTCTCCACCTCTTTCTACTCCCAATCCAGGGGGTGTTTCACAAAGATCCTAAGTTGGACTTAGAAATTATGGAGAGCCATATGAACCTTAGAATAGAATACATTCAAAAGCCCAAAATTGAAGTATTTTAGACTTTTCATAATTTCCACATAAAGAACATGAAATCTCCTTGATATCAGAAAATAAGAATGATTTGAATCAACATTTTATGCCTTTGAAAATAACTTTAACAAAATATTTTCAAAGATGATAACGGCTTTCCATATATTTGAAGTCCAACTTAGAGATAAGTTCAACTTCGGATCTTTGTGAAACACCCCCCTGCTAAAAACATTACCATTCATCAGATGACACTCTTCAAATATAATGCTCATTCTAGGCCACTTACACAACAGAAAAGAGTTCAACAAATGCATTATATGTAAGAAATTGTTTATTAATGCTTGTAACAGACATATGAATCACTTAAAATAAACAAGATAGAAACTTACTGCCTTAAGAGAAATACATGAACTTTTGTTTATAAATGAACTTAAAGCATATATACATTACTTGTATACATGTATTGAAACTGTAAACTTAACCTTAACTTAACACATACAAGCTATGCACAAAAGATCAGGAAGAATTCTTGTTTGAGTATTTTTTATACAAAAGCTGGCAAAATATTTCCCTTCCTTTCCTATAGTTACAGATATTTGACTTTATGTTTTTTCTTCTTCATTATACATGAATACCAAAATTTACATCTCTTATGATAACAGTGTATGGCAAAGTCTATTCACATTGTAACACAGAAAAAAAGAAAAAAGAAATCTGACTCATTAATGAGTCAATATTTAAAAGGGGGGGGGGGGGGTAATGATAACAGAAATTGATCTCTATGAAATACAGAACAATAACAATGCAGTAAATATCTGTTCTAAGATTATGAGAGGAGACTCACTAACACACATGTCATATCATTACAAACCAAGAATTAAATCATGAATTTTAAAGTGCAATACTATCACAAGAGAGAAGAATCAAATGAGTTGTGCGGATGTTGAATTTAAAAAGGAAGAAAATCAAAAGAAGATGAGGGAAGAATATGGATATACTTTGGCTAGTATATTACAGACATCAACAAATATCTCACAGATATGCCACATATGCAAAATATTGCATGATGATATATCATTATGATTATTGCTTTGACAAGGGGGATTCTGATAGTAATCGAGTCATATGCAAGCTGTACGGTGCGGCATAAGCACTGAGCGATGTGAAGGTTTCAAATTTGGGGGTCCAAGTTTTCTGGACTTAATAAACATACTACTACTTCTAATAATAATGAAAATGGTGCTTATAAAGCGCTTGCCACTGAAGTCTCTAAGCGCTATGAAAACAATGACCGTGTTGATAAAAAGGTGCTGGAGGTTGGCCCCTCCAATAACATCTTTCGGATGGTGACGTTAAAGGTCGGTCCCGAGACATAAATAATCATATCTGATTGATACACGTCTGTAAAAACCCAATTACACACACACACCCCTCAAATGAAAACATATCATATTGCCTAGTAAAAACCACATCTTTGTGTTTAAAGGCAGGCTTTACTACTTTAGCTAGAAGGGATTAGACCACCCAGCGAGTCAGCGAGGTCACTGTGACATGTGGCTATCTCATTAACTCAGCTCTCATTTAACATAAGAAAAAGAGGATCATGGGGGACCAACAGGCACCGATTGGGGAAGTTTTCTATATAGAGGGAGCAAGTAGCTACAAGTAGGACAGTGGGGCTTTAAAGCATATGAGTTAACGCCCTCCTCGCTCCACACAGGTGATATCATCCCCTAAGAGCCACAAAGTCATTACCTCTATGCTAAATAATATGGCTCATGGTACATGATACATGGCACAGTCTTGCAATCGAATCATTCCTGTAACTGCATCATCTAGTTTTGTGAGTGATCGTTGAAAATACCTCAAATAAAAGACAAAAATGATGTATATCTATTTTTTTTAAATTCCAGAAATATTTTTCCAATTTAAAAATGCTTGGAAATTGGGTAGCATTTATATCGTTGAAATAGAGAAGGATTCTTTTTTCTCTTCTCCAAATTGTTTGTATAAAAAACATATCTTTAACTTTGCTACTTTTATCATATACCAAGTAATTTGTTTGCTTAAGTTTATCTTTTACCTTTCTTCCAAAAAATATTACAATTTCAAATGCTTTGCAAGCTAAAGGAAGATAATGATAAAGAAGCAATATATAAATTACACAACAGGAGGACATACAATTATGGATTCTTTTCTTAATATGTATTTTATCTTAAAAAGCAAGGTAAGAAGAAACCCTAAAAAGGAAAAGAAACCGAGCTTTGAGAGGGGAATTAAAAGAATTTTACAACACAAATGGTCCACCTCAAGTTAACACAACAGAATTCCAAACATAGATTTACACTATACATTAAATCCAGCATATCTACTTATATTTACACTAAAATACATCAAATCGTCAAAAGCACTTTATCAATATGATAAACAAAAACTGTGAATACACTAAGATGCTGGTTTTTAAAAAGTTTAACCTGAATACAGGATTTCAAAAATGAGCATCTGTTCTTTTTCTTCCCACATTCTTTCAAAAGCACCAAAAGTGAAGATCAAAAGAATAAATTTTGTTTTTAAATATGATGATAAAGGAAAAACAAATTTATTTTCTACATGTACATAGAGTAATACGTAACTACAAAACATTATTCAGAAGAAGTAAGTGTATGTAAAAATACAATGTAATTGAAAAGCGTAACATTGTTTTAAGGTTTTGAATCAACAAAATCATCTGTTCCTGGTGATAAAGAAATACATTAAGAAAAACATTCAATATTTGTTCTTGCAATTATTAAAAGTAATATTTTCATGACCTGTGAAACAAGGCAGGCATGTTCATGGGCTAAATTTTTAACAAGAATAGTTAAAAATTGTTGAAAGTCTTAAAATTAAATCTTCAAATTTGAAGGAACTTTCAGCAAATGAGACAATGAACATCTAGTCAGGCAAACGAGAGCACACTGAATTAAAATGATCTTCCTGTAATAAAAAAAACAATACAATCATGGCTAAAAATTTAAAGAAAATATGAATTAGTTACTGATGTCAACAAACATAATTTTCTTTTTCTTGGACATTATACCATAATGTCATAGTATGATAAAATGGTTTTCAATTGCAACAAGCTAATAAAAATATCATCATCAAAGTGATAATCGCTATAAAAAAAAAAGGGGGGGGGGGGAGTACTCCTGAACAGTTAAAACCTGAATATAAAGTAAACATCAATGAAATATAAAATCATGCCATAGAGAAAGGATAAAAGCAGTGTTGATGAAACATTATTCTTTCGAGTTTGGGAGTAAGTATTTTTAATCTGTTTTTTGGTTCAATGGACAAAAATTTCAAGAGATTAAAAAAACACAACTTTGGTCTTACTAACTTTAATATTTCTCCATATATGGCATTAAAAACTATTCAAAGGATAACTTACATAATTATACAAACATTGATTCGGAAATAAACATCTCTGGAACCTCAACTCTTATAATGACAGAGAGAAAAGAGAGAAAAGGGAACGAGGGGTGAAGTTGAGAGAGAAAGAGAGAGAGAGAGAGAGAGAGAGAGGGAGAGGGAGGGAAAGAGAGAGAGAGAGAGAGAGAGAGAAGGAAAATAGATTTTAGGGAAGCAGCAATATCAATGGAACATGAGGTGGGAAGCAACAGAATGATTTTACGAATACATGTAGAATGATGGCAGTATCAACAAATGTGTACCTTAGAAGCGACTGTACTGAATGGATAATAAAAATGAATATAATACTGCAGCTAGTAGTTTACACACAGCATTTGAAGAAAAACATAACATACACATTCTGATGCAATTGGCTATATAGTACATATCTCTTAACTTAAGTACTTTACTCAATTCAGCACATAAAAATATCAAATTCAAATCAAAATCGTACTGCTAAAATGATTGCTCTGTACAAGACAAATTGTTTCTTTCTCCTCTTTTTGTTTTTGTTGCAAATTATATAATACAAGCTGCCAAATTAGCGATAATTCCTCAAGTATTCACTTCTCACAGATTTGAGGTGGTCTGGCATATCCGATAAGGCTTTTTAATCCATTGGAAGATGCATATGAAAGCCTTTTTTAAACAAGCCAACAAAGAAACGAAAGAAAAAAATTGTTTGCGAGAACTGGACGATTTGAGCTCATATTCAAAGAATAAACAGCTGAAAACTAATGAATTTCACTTTCAAGTGGCGTAAAAAAACATGTTCAAATATATATATATTTTGTTTTTCTCGAAAATAACTTATTTTGGTACATTTTTGTTTGTACATTTTTGCTGCAGCTCCATAGGCAGACAACCTTATGACTTGCACTCGCACTATCATCCTTTCTCATTTCAAATGTACAAGTTACTTATTGTGCTGGAGTACTGTACTAGTATGTATAATGCAGTACTGGTTTAGTACTCTATGCTAGAAATTAAAACTCACAAACCATGTCTGTTAGAGGTTTTAGTATCACATCAATTACACATGCTAATCATGTTTGTTGGAATCCCATAATTAATCAACAATTTCAGTCCTGTGTTTTCTAATTATACGATTGGATTCAAGCTAAGTAAGTGTCCTTACAAACTGGTGGATGGGACCGATAACAAGCCTTTGTGTTGCCAATTCGTGTGTTTAGATTTGAAGTTATTTGCTTTATAATCAGTGATTTTGAGCTGGTTAAACCAAGAACGTGGTATTGAACTCTGAGGTAAGAATCTGAACATCTAAAAACTATGTACAAACACAAATCTACTCGTTTCATTTCGTCTCAATTGTTGATTGTCAAAATCCAATGTACACTACGTGATTGATTGAAAGTGACAACAATCATTAATACCTAGACAAAACCTTGTGATATACCAAATCATCTAGTACTCTACTTGTTTCTTCATGATAATAAGCATCATGATGCAGAAAGTCGGCCGAATCGAAGCAGAAATTGGTGTTGTCATCATCCACAGCCCCCTTTTCTCTCTTCTTGCCATCGAGTCCGTTACAAAAAAATAGCTTGCTTGTTCCATATTCAAATGAAATCCACTCATAATAGCATCCATGTCGTCATGGATACAGAGATGACCCTCTTTCTAACATCAGTGCATTCCTTCTATTGTAATCAAAATGCTCAAGTCACATTTCTGCAGTAGTAGATGCATTCCTGCTCGGTTCGCTTACTGTCAATGCTTGGCGAAAACTCTAGCAAAAATATCAGTCAATTCTATGCTCTCCATACATACGGACAGACACAACTGTTCTCCATTTGTGAAACAATATTTAAAATAAACAAAACGAAAGTGATGACTAAGGAAGTGAGCGGCATGGCTGAATACAAATAGCTTTGCAGGATAACTTCAGGACGTCTCAGTTCCTCTGTAAAGCGTCGCATTACCGCGTTAACATTTCTGTTGTAACATTTCTGGTGATACAATACTAGGTACTCCAAGCTAAGTTCGTCTCTGCCGTTCATTCAGTGTCTAGACTAGTTTGAAGTACAAGTTCATATTGCTACAACCCTTCTGCGCTCTGCCTGGGCTGAAGTGTATGCATAGATAAGGTCCTTTCTACCAGGTCTTGTGACGATCCATTATTGGAAGGATGTGTGATTGAATCCACGGAGGACTCCCGTTTGCCGTTTGTCGTTCTCGAGAAATTTATACGCTGTCCACTACATACCAACCCTGGGGCAGAAGACAATATCGCTGTAAAAAAAAGTCCACTTTGCTCAAGTTCCTTGAAAGTGGAGATTCCAATTTTATCACTCTCTTTTTGTCCGAGTGCAAGATATAGACTTGAGCCCCAGTTGTACAGTTAGTACTTCTCTACTATTTCATTGTCTTTGGAGTACTGTTGCTAGATAGGTGCTCCAAGGAAGAGGCTGGGAAGGAGTCTATGTGTAGTGATCAAAGGAGCCCAGATACTCCAATGCAGCATGGTAGCAGAACTGATACTGATCCTGTATCAAGAAAAGAAAAGAAAAATTCATCAGACGATTTATTAAATTTACAAATATATCATTACTTTCTAGGATTCTCATAGAGAACTTTGTTTGGACATGAAAAGAACATTAACTTTACAGGATGTATAAATGGTTTGTACAGATTCTCAATTTTACTTTTAGAAAACTGCTCAAATTCAACTGTTCTTCAGTTTACTGACTTAAAAAATTTGAATTAGGACGAGAATGGAAAGTGGACACTCTTGGGTCCTGAGATACCTACTAGCGACAGTCGGTGTGCTATGAGTCCACAAATGCTATATTACCATGATCGTTTTCACAAATGAAATCAATTCTAGGCAAGATATTAACCTACACTTGCTCCACCTAGGTGTTAAAATGGGTACCCGGGAGGATGTGACCGTCATTGCTGGTCAAACAGTTTTTGAGCGTCAAGTAACGCCTGGCTGGAACGCTCCTCAGGGAGTGAAGATTGTGCACACAAGCACTGAATCCAATGACCAGGGTAATAGTATATCTGTAGAGCGCTTAGAGACGTCCGAGATGTATTAAGCACTATATAAAACTGAATATTATTATTATTTTGCTTGGTCTATCGTCGGTCTTATTGGGCGTGACTGGGGTATCAGCGTATGCAACGTTGCCTGCCTCTGGACGACTTGCCTCTGGATGACTTACCTCTGTTTGTACCATAGCAGGCCTCTGGGTTCTGAGCATCTTAACGGTCTGGAACATGTCAACGATCCCCTCGTATCGCATCCTCTCCAGTACCACGCTGAGGGTGATGAAGACTCGGTCCTTCCCACTCCAGCACTGCAAGGGGACAGATGAGGTCAGGATTAGGGGTGAGCAGAGTGGAATCAATGATCATTTGAAACATTGAATCAAGGGACATTAATGTATGTCACAATGTGGAAGCATGTTGATACTCTCTCTTGATTGTCCTTAGACTGAATGGTATTACAGTAATCATGAATATCATCATCACACCAGCCAATTGTCATCTATATTATCGTCATGGACATTATAGTAATTGTCATTCTCACTATCGTCATCATCATCATCTTCATCATAACCATTAACACAAACATCAACAACAATATCATCACCAACATCATCATCGTCATCGCTCTCATCACCATCTCAATATTCCTCCTCATCATACTCCTCATTATCATCATCACCACTAACACCACCACCACCACCTCCAGTCGGCATTATCACCACTGGCAATGACATCATCAGCATTATCACATCGTCATCATTAATCGATCGGCGTCCCCACCATCCATCATCGTCATCATCGTCATCATTGTCATCATCGTCATCGTATCAACTGACCTGCAGTGCACTGATATTGGTCCTTCTTGTCCGAACTGCTCCTTGGTTTTGTGAACCTGACCGATGAAATCGATGAAGCCTTCTCCGGACTTGGGCACGCCTTGCTCTGGCCAGTCTGTGAACTGGAACTGTCGGATTGTTCTCGACTGCCCATCCTGTTTAAGGTGGAAATTGAAATTGTAAGGAAATCAGTTAAAGGGATCGTTTAACAATGTTAAATCTGAGATACACGGCCCTACGTGTTATCAGTGTCTGTGATATAGTGTAATATTGAAGCCCTAAAAAAATTGCGCTTCAAAATCATCAAGAAGTGCCTCAAAAAAGTAAAAACCTTTGAGTGACCGGTTTTACCATACTCGTTTTCCCCAATAGACTGTAGTGTTATGAAAACCGTCAGGCGAACGGTTTTCAAAATTTGTAATTCCAATCATAAATATCTTGATAATCAGACAGGCGATCGGCTTGTAAAAGTCATGGGGTTCCTGACTGACCTAAAGGTTTATAATTATCATTGCATCATGAGCTAAACCCAGAATTTTGTTTCAGAATCTGAGACAAAGTTACCAGATCCCTTTAAATCTATTTATAATATGATGACATGTCCTAATCAAATGATTGGTTGAAAGCGTACACATGACCAGGCATGTATTTTGCCTAAAGCGTAATTTGGATAATGACCGGTCACTATCCAAATCATGTTATAAAACATCGTTGTATAAAACAAATAAAACATAATCTTATAAAAACAGATAATACACATCATTTTGTTAGGGCATGAGTAAAATTACCCACACTCGGTACCTTAATACCTTGTGTGGGTAATTTTTACTAGTGCCCTCACTGCTGTGTATTATTTGTATACTAATCTTACCACACAAAAAAACATCCTGAAGGTATATTGTAAAATAGGCAACCTCATCACATATGATTGAGCAACTTAAATATTTTACAATCAAGATAATTCTATGAAATTGAATTGAATTCTTATACACTTAAATCTAAAATGTATTATTTATTATAAACATCAACTTACATTTTGGGTTCATGCATCAACTGTTGGAAAGCATTATTAAATGAAAATGCCATTTCACTAAACCATAAAACCACAACATTATCACAATGAAACTTTTCACAAATGACAAATAAGAGCCATATTTGCATCAAGAATTTTTCCACTGCAGAAAATTGAAGGGAGAGAGATAGATGAGAAAGGGGGGTTGGGAGGGAGGGGGGAGGGGGTTGTTGTTGAGACTTACCCTTGCATCTGTAACCTTGAACTCTCTCAGGATGTACTGTGGCATGTTGTATTCGGACATGGGATCGACCACAAAGTACTGATAACGAGCCGACCTCTCAGCTGGCCAGTACTGATGACATTTCTCCTGTGGAATGAAATGTGAATATTAATAATAATAATAATAGTGGCATATTGTAATGCGTGCCAGTACGAACCCAAACAAAGACATGATCGTATCGAGAAAAAAAATCATTAAAAACTACGAGAGCACAATTAGAAAGACAACTATTCAAAATTATCGTAAGCAGGTACGTAACTTGGAGGAAAAATACAATAGTTGTTCAAGAAAAGCCACAGAAATAGTGATATTTTAGGAGTTAGTATAGGTACAATCATTATCGGAATGGGCCTGCCGCGATGTCCGAATGACACGTGTTTAAATTGAACACGAGGCTAGAAACCAAATACCGCCCTCTACGGTAAAAAGCAGTGCAACAAAGGATTCAAGTATTTGCAGCAGACCCCTTGAGAGAAAAAGGTTGGTCTTCCACGTACCCTTCCCATCTCTCTGAGTTTGGAGAGCATGACGATGATGGTAGAGTTCTGCTCCCAGAGCATCCTCCAGAAGTCTTCCGTTGTCTCAGCCAGAGGTCCCTGGGTGGCGATGTAGGCATTCCTCTGTCTGTAACCCTGTAGGAAAAAACAAGAGAGGGAGGAGAGCCAATGATTATTAAGAAGCAGAGTCATAAAGTCATGTGGTGTTTCTTTGCAGTTAAAGAAGGACAGTAACTCAAGAGAACAACTCTTAAGAATAGGGGATCTCGTTCAATTTAATTTCTACCAAAAAAAAAGAAGAAAAAAAACCCATCTTAGTCTTCACAATAAATCACAAATGCTCATGACTGAAATCAACAGAGCGAGAGAAAGAGAGAGAGAGAAAGCCAAAGAATGTACACGCGAGAGCAATTAGTCCAAACCCGGATATACATGTAAAGGAATCAAAACTTTGAAAAAAGACAAACACATTAAGAAATGGAAAAAAGAACTGTTGATACGTACGTCAATATGACTTGCATTGATGTAGTCTGATCCTTCGACTCCTCGGATTGGCTGAAGACAAACACGGTTACCCTCATCTGGTCAAAGGAAAAGGAGATAACAATATGTTACAAATCTTTATTATCATTAATCATATGCATATTCATGTTTATGTAAATGTATGCGCATGGCATTCAGATGAGTTGGTGAATGGGAGATTCAATAACCCACCACAGTCATGGGTAAATCTTAGTCGTTTACGATAATACTTTTGCTGTTTGAGTATCTGTGTGTTGTAAGGTACAAGAGGGTGAATATTGAATGTACAACCCTCTCTTTGTAATAAATAACAGGAAGATTAATCTCACTCTTCTATTCATTCTTTTAAAGTTATCATTGATGCACACGTTATCTTCTAATAAACAACACTACTTTTGTCATTCCTCACAAGGCAGATGATTCCTATCATTTTGACATAAATATGCCATTTAGGTACATACTGCAGAATCAGCATGTTAATTCATACATTAACTGCTTCTGTTCACACTATCGACCGATTGCCACTTTAGAGGGATCTGGTAACTTTGTCTCAGATTCTGAAACAAAATCCTGGACAAATTTTGCGTTTTCCTGACGGTTTTCATAACACTACAGTCTATTGGGGAAAACGAGTATGGTAAAACCGGTCACTCAAAGATTTTTACTTTTTCTGAGGCACTTCTTGATCATTTTGAAGCGCAATTTTTTAGGGCTTCAATATTACACCATATCACAGACACTGATATCACCTAGGGCCATGCATCTTAGATTTAACACAAAGGGTAGTAGTAGAAGTAGCTTACATGGCTGGATGTTGAGCAGTCTGTTCTTGAATTTATTTGCAGGAATATTGGCACTGACGAACCGTGACGGCTGGGCTTTCTGGCTTGCCAACCTCTGTTCATGAGAAAAGTATGGAGAAGAGGAAATAAATTTTAAAAACATCACTATCGATGTCAATATCTTCTCATGCTTTAAGCTCTTCTTGAAATATATCTTACAAAGTAAAGAAATCAAAGAACAGAAGACTGGCTGTTACACTTATAGGTATGGTAGCATAACGGCTACACTGAATATACAGGTTCTCCAAAAGACTTAGGATTTCTGCAAATTACAACAATCAAAATTTAAAAAAAATTGTAAAATAACATAAGTCCATCCAGAATATTATGACACCATCAATTCTTAGTCCATTCAGGCAATAGCAAACAAAATTTCTTCCAAACTACAAGTCCTACAAGCTTCTCTGACTGTGCGGCAACATCTCTCTTTCTCAAATACAAGAAAAAATATTTCACTGTGAACACAATTCAGTGCAGAAGAGAAATTTATTCCAATAGAATATGCAATTTCTTTGTGTTGTACCTTGAATTCATTTTCCATGCCGGTGATGGTCTCTCCAGGCTCCAGGGCCGTCAGCTTCTGGATGTGGCCGTAGAGGTTGCGTGCGTGGACCTCCGTGGTCCCGCTGGCCACCGCCTCGTACAAGGCCTCGTGGATGAAGATGTACTGCTCCTCCGTCTGCACCATGTAGTTACGCTGGGCACGCAGGCAGGTCACGTGACCGTAGATGTCGACCGTCTTCTCGTGCTTGATGCGCTCCAGCATGGAGTCGATGACGATGTAGGCCCCGGTCCGCCCGACACCGGCACTGTTTTAATAATAATAATAATAATAATAACAATATTTATAAAGCGCAACATATCCATCTCTAGAGATGCTCAAGGCACATACAAATAATTTTAATTAATATTCAATATACTTAAGATTAAAGAAATATTAAAGGTTAACTTATATTACACAACTTCATGGTGCCATGGTACATAACAATGTGGCATAGTGTGATTATAGAAGGGAGATGGGAAAGAAAACAAATTTGGTAATCTCATCATTAACAGAGTAGAAATATTGAAACTGATCTTTATCAAAATACTCTTCCTCACTATTAATTTTACTTCAATAGACCATTTGAAACATGATCAGATTTTGGCAATCTAAACAAATTCGAGATGGAATAAAATGTTCTTAAATGTAATTTCTGTCTATATTTCTTAATTTGAAGTATGTTACAGCAAACAAACACCAATTATCGCATGAAGTGTACTACAACAGGCCATGTTTCTCTTGGGCTACATGATGTCACTCCCCCCTTCCCCCCTCGTTCTCTACCCCCTTCCTACACCTATTCCCTACCTGCAGTGTACTTCAACAGGCCCTGCATCTCTTAGGTTAACGGTACATGACCCCCCCCCTCTTTCTCTCCCCCCTTTCTCTACCCCCTTCCTACACCCATCACCTATACCTTACCTGCAATGTACTACGATGGGTCCTGCGTCTGGTGGGTTGCAGGACTTGACTCTACTGATGAAGGCTAGGACTGATGTGGCGTGCTCTGGAACTCCATGGTCCGGCCAGGCTGTGAACTGGAACTGCTTCACTTCTCTCTTCTCCATTGAACGGTTCTGTCAAACAAACACAAGAGTGACGATCAAATACAGGTCCAAACTACCACTGCATTAATACAACATACCTGCCAACATTTGAAAATGAGAATTAAGACTTTTTAGCATGGTATGTCTTCGAAAATAAGAAATCTGTACCATTAACAGGCGTTCGCACATGCAGCGGCAGTGTAACTGGCAATACGCGGTAAATCTGTGCTAAAAAGCGAATACAAATTCGCTGCTCAATCATGCAGCCCTTCAACGCACGCAATACGTGAACTCTCATTTCGCGACATATGATAAAACAAGCTTAATTTGGCTTAAAAAACAACAAAAAATAAAAAACAAATAAATTTTAAAAAAGGAATTTTGAAAAAACAGAATATTCCGGATTTTTCGGAAGGATTGGCAAGTATGATACAAGCAGAATTGATTTCTGCCTACGGTTCTGACATATGAAGTTTCAGGATTGTCAAAATTCAAAACTAATTTTAGGCCTATACAGAGATACAAAAGTATCAGCATCCGAAATTAATTTCTTTATCAAGACTCATATTATCATGTTCCTTTATTAGCGAAAAATGGAAAGAGAAAGAGATAGAGTGTGGAAAAAGAGTGAAAATTTAAAGGGAAAAAAAGAAGAAGAAAAAAAGAAGAGCAAAATACAAAAATCAAAAGGAGACAGTGGGCCAGAGAGAGAAAATAGAGGGGGTCCAACGATCTTACCTTGAGATTAACCAAGGCAAATGATCTGACAGTATACGTAGCTAGCTCTGTAGTATCTAATAGGGTGACCTGTATAAAACCATACTTCTCTTGGTCTCTAGTCGGCCAGTATTGGTCACATTTCACCTGAAACAGAAAGGACAATAACAAAATTGAAAATTACGAAAAAGTAATAAATCATAGAGTACAGGCGCTACAGAAGAAATACACACACAACTACTTCTCAATAACAATTGAGTTGATTATCTTAGCCCCATTGATACGACTGTGTTCCTGAACTACAGTATTAATATCTCAATATTAGTGACCAATATGGTGTAATGATTCCAGTTGCAAATTTGAATAAAACTGAAAGAAATGGCTGTTTTTCATACATAACACTGGCATGTAAACTTTTACTGTTTATGAAATCTCCTTGCGCATCCATTAGGGACTTTTTCTTCTTTTTTTGTAACGAATACTGATGTAGTCCATGAAGTTCAGAGAATGAAAACAATGCAATACATCTCAATACATCGCAATAATATGAGAGACCTAGCCACCATGGCATGGAATGACCTCATCATCAAGAAATTTAATGAACTCCAAAAGAGACAGAGTGGACGAGAGGAACCCACCCTATTTCTCTCCTCCAACTTGGTCATCATGACAATGGTATTGGTCCTCTGCTCCCAGACCATCCTCCAGAAGTCTGCCATCGTCTCCAGGAGCGGCCCCTGGGTGGCGATGTAGGCGTTTTGCTTGCGGTAGCCGTCGCAGTAGTTGGCGTTGGTGTAGTCGCTGCCCGGCAACCCCTCCATGGGGGAGAGGATGACGCGGGAGTGGTCGTAGGCGATGACGTTGGCGTAGCGGTTCTTGGGCTTGTTCGTCTCCAGGTTGGAGTGGTCCCAGGTGAACTGCTGGCCTGGCTCTATCGACTGTTCGATTCATTGATAAAAAAACAGAACCACAGAATGATTCAATCTGCCTTGTATCTACTTCTCTCTCTCTCTCAAATGTTACAGACTTGTGTGATTATCGATGGTAGGGATCATTTACAGTTAAACCTGTCTTTAGCGACCGCCCGAGGGAAACACAAAAAGTGGCCTTTGTTGACAGGTGGTCTTTGTAGACAGGTTCCTTAAGTACATGTTTCAATGAGAAACATTATGAAGGGAAACAAAATATGTATTCCTTGTAGACAAGTGGTCACTAAAGCAGGTTTAACTGTATATTGTTATACACTTTCCAGGTTACAAACATGTACCACACTGCAATTAATGGAACAAATATCTAGTCATGTTTACATAATTTTTTCCATCATTTCAATTCGTGGACTTTCGATATTGTAATATCAAGAGCAAGGCAAGCTTAGACTGATTATTGGCAAGGACAAGGAAACTGTCAATGTATCTACTATTACAATTTTAAAGAAATGCATCACCGAGTGCATTTCATTTACATCAGTAAAACTTCTTTTAATATACTGTATGTACATCCATCAAGACAGAAGGAACTAGTAATACAATTTCCTTTGGCAAGGCATTAATCTACATTTGCCACTCCATACCCAGGAGAGAATTGGGGACCTGGTAGGGTGACAAAAGCCTTTATGTTAGCTATTCCCATATGCCCTCACAGTGACCATATGGTAGGAATACTCCCCAGGGAGTGGAGATGGTGGACGTTGTGCATGAATGAATCCAATGACCGGGTTAATAATATCTGTAAAGCGCTTAGAGACGGTATTTCATACCAAGAACTATATAAATCCAGATTATTACATACCTCATATTCTTGTGAGAAAAGCATGGCATCGTTGCCCTTTAACCTCTCGATGTGCTCTTGGAACTGGGAGACTGGGATGGGAGGATGGGACATCATTGCTGTTTGAAATACGAAGAGAAGGAACATTGGTTATAAGACTCAGTTTGTATTATCTGACTTGTTTGTACGCAACTGAACGCATAACGTAATCAATAACAAAATTCAAGATTGAAGAATGCCATTGGAATCTTGATAATAATTAAGATGATGATGCATGGGTGATGATGATGATGAGTATAACAATGATGATGAAAATGACAATGATAATGATGGTGATGATGCTGACAATGACGATGACGGTTGTCATGATGATGGTGATGACGATGAAGACGGGTATAATGAACATAGTGGTGGTGATGATGATAGTGACGATGATGATGATGACCATGACGACTATGATAATGGTGTTTTGAATAATGACTTAACCCTTACTGTACTGGGGGGGGGCCTGGGAGGCCCCCCCCCTCGACATTTTCGGAGATTGCGCCGCAACCGCTTGAAATTTTGAATTGTCGTTTCATGACTTTTTTCCCTCAAGTCTTACGCACGTTTTGATACCATTTTCGTCGCAATCGGATATACCTGTGAGGTGTTACATAACAATTAGTATGCGCATGTCATCAAAAATATGCTATAATTGCATATATTCATGTACAAGCAGAAATGTGAATACAGGTTTAGATGTATTCCTTCCTAAGTGGGTGATATGAATTGATATCGAATTGCTTTTATGTGTTTCTCAAAGTAACTTGATGTATTCCAGAACAAAAGAATACATAAGAAATAAAAACAATAGATATAATAAGAAATAAAAAAACAATAAAATACATAAGAAAATAATTATTTGAAAATCGCATCAAATTTGCATAAATTATCATTATTAATTACATCCAAATAAATATTTTGTGTTAGAAAAGAAGTTTCATATGAATAATGAGTTTCAACGTTCAAAAAGTGAAGTTGACACGTTTTCTGTAAAATGCATAAAATTAGCATTTTGCATAATTAATTAGGCTATAACGACAAAAATTTGCATATTTGCAAAAAACTAATTACACCATCTTGTTCGTTACGTAAATATCTACAAACATGCAAATTTTTGTGTTCATCGGACATCCGACGGCCGAGATCATAGGGGGGGGGGGCCTCCCAGGCCCCCCCCCCCCCCCCCCAGTCAGGAGGTGCTCAAAATAGCCCAGTACAGTAAGGGTTAAATGACTATGATAATAGTGATAATTTTGATAAATGATGGTGATGATAATGATACAAATAATGGTTTCTGAAAGGATGATGGTGATGAAAATGATGATGAAAATGATGATGAAAATGGTGATGGTGATGATAATAATGATGCTGATGATGATGATGCTGATGCTGATGGTGATGATGGTGATGCTGATGTGATGATCGTAATGATGATGATGGTGGTGATGGTGATGATGATGATGATGATGATGCTGATGGTGATGATGGTGATGATAATGATACAAATAATGGTTTCTGAAAGGATGATGGTGACGATGAAGATGGTGATGATGACAATGACGCCAATAAAGATGATGATGATGGTGATGATGACGATGACACTGACGCCAATAAAAATGATGATGATGAAATTGCTAGAAACCTACCTGGGGTCTGGTAGTTGAGTCTCCTCATCTCTACAGGGTCTGCCAGGTTGCTCTCTGTGTTATCCTTTCTCTTGTTTGCACTCGGAGGCCGGGGTTCCCGTCGTCTACAAACATTAAACAAAAAAAATCCAATCATACAAATTTCTCCCTCACTAGTCACATTTCATCTACATACGGTGTGATTATTCATTAAATACATCATGTGCATTACACATCGAGTATTCTACAATTAAAAACAAACATGATTGCTAGCTACAGGTTATCAAGCAAAGCAAAATATTCAGGAGAAAAAATATGTAATTCTGAGGGGAGTCACATTCAAACCATTTCCTACAGGGACATTTTTCAATATATCCTCATGACTTTTCCTCATTTCCACAATTACAATCTCTTCATAATATAGTCAATCTACCCCGCTCATCATTTATCTTAAATCCTCATGGGTGTTATTCCGGTAGCGAGTACTAAGTTAGCGCGTACTTAGTTAGTCCACACTTTTATGGAGTGCCTGTTGCCAACTGATTTACCTGTACAGATTATTTTAATCCTTCAATGAAAAGTGTCCACAAATTTAATTTTGCAATGAAATGGGAAGAAAAAGATAATATGAGTATGAACTAAATTTCAACAAGGTCTTTGGTATATTATATTTGTCATGAATATTGAAGGAGGAAGATGAAACCTAGCATTCCATAGAAGTGTGAACTAAAATTCTTTAGTCTGGACTTAGTCCCAGCTTAACTTATGAGAATACCACCCCATGAGTATAACTATTCAAAATTATATCTTTTCTTTCCACTTCATTTTTTTCTCTTTCTCCCTGTATCTCTTTAAAGCACAAACAGCTTTCTGAAACTCATATTTTGTAACTATCAAGCATGAACATATATATATATATTTTAGTAAGACTGTTCTAATATCTTTGTTAGTGGTCTATATTTACCTCCTATGGGTGTTGGAGATGAGAGGGGAGGATACACCAGGCAGGCGGGGAGGCAGCATTCAAAGGATGGAGGTTGGGAGAGGGAGGGAATCAGTAAAGGTAGCAATGTTAATAATGGATCAATATATTCAACCAATTGTTATAGCACCATACACACTATTAGATGAAAATATATGTCAGTGACTTTGCTTTAAAAGGGAATTTCATTTCACCTTTGCAAATGAATTACAATGAATTAAGTAAACACTTCTACATCGATTGTTTAAAAATCTGGTGATCTATCTCAATTGCTATGGGCTTTCATTCTTAAAGGCAACGTTTAACAAAGTTAAATCTGAGATGCATGGCCCTACGTGCAATCAGTGTCTGTGATATGGTGTAATATTGAAGACCTAAAAAATTGCACTTCAAAATGATCATGAAGTGCCTCTAAAAAGTAAAAATATTTGAGTGACCAGTTTTACCATACTCATTTTCCCCAATTAGTAGTGTTATAAACACTGTTAGGAAAACGAACAATGAAATTTTGATTTCCAATCATAAATAACTTGATAATCATGAGATTCCTCACTGACCTAAAGGTTCATAATTATGATTGCAGCATAAGCTAAATCTAGGATTTTGTTTCAGAATCTGAGGCAATGTTACAGAGTCACTTTAACAGATATAGGATGAGTGTTGGATTTTAGATTAGGTTTGGGGTTAGAACATTACATTGTCCAGGGTTTAGATGCAGATTTTGATTAGTGTTAATAGACTGCAGATCAATTGTTGCCCAGCATGTGTCGTGTCGTACAACCCTAGTTAAACCCTAGTTAAACCATCAATCGTGAATGAAGCTCCCAAACCACTATGGCCCACTTCTCACCTGAGAACAAAGAAGATGATGAGGACAACGAGGAGGAGGATGACCACGCCACCGACGGCCGCAGCAATGATGATCATGAGGTTGTCTGATTTGGGTGTGACCTGAGGACCAGCGACGGGCTGCTCTGCTTTGATGGGGGCAGCAAACGGACTGGAGGTTTCAAGCTTGGTCTGTAGATGGATGGGAGGAGAAAGGATATCATCATGAGGTACTGGATTTCATCTTCGCCCTTCTCTACTCAGGACATTTCGTCTGGAACACTTCATGATATCGCATCTAGCTTTTATTTTTTTAACAAAAATCCAATCCAATCTAATATCCAATCCAGGAATTTATAAAGCGACAATATCTAGTTGCCTAATCAAAAGCGCTGATGAGACCGAAAAACCGCCCGAAAATGTCTGTTCATGATTCTAACTGGCAAAGACAAAAAGCAGTGACTAATTGTATGCAATCTGAAATAAGTAAGTCTTTAGTTGAGTTCTGAAAGTGGATAACTGGTGACAAGAGTGAAGAATCAACAAAAGCAACATAACTGTATAAAATACATTAAAAAAAGATAACTTCTATGGATTCAAAGAAGGGAGAAAAGACTCATTGAGGTAGAATTGTATAAAAAAAAGCAAAGGAAAGATGTAATTTGTGGTTGATATGTCCAATCACTTACCCCATTCTCACTGAGAATGACTGCTCTGGTGAAGAGGGTGTAGTATTCGCCCTCTTTGAGAGGTTTATTCCTATACCCATTCACCTCGCTGCCGTCCCCAATCACAAACGACGCGGGCATCTCCTCCCCGTTCAGCTTGGCTGCGATGTACGGCTCTGTGTCTTGGCCCGTGGCGGCCCTGCGGCTACGGGGGTGTTGCGCGCTCCTCCTGCCGCGGGACTGGATCTCGAGGTCTTCCGTCTTGATGTCGTTGGGGCTGATGGTCAGGGCCACGGGCTCGCCGTTTTTGTTTCTCAGCCCGATGACGATGACGTACAGGTAGCTGCGAGGATGGAGAGAAGTAACAAATTAAATGCAAACAACTTATCAACAAAATATCAAGGGTGTGTGGGAGCAGGTTAATGCAATGTAAAAGTGCCATGGGGAGTCTCATTGAATTGAAATTTCAGAAGTCGTAGAGAGTACTAAAATTGTGGAAATTAACCTACGGTAGATGCAATTATTTCAATATTATAGTAATGGTCTCCTGGTAATAGTAATACAGTCAAACTTGTCTACAGCGACCGCCGAAGGGAAACACAAAAAGTGGTCTTTGTAGACAGGTTCCTTTAGAACATGTTTTAATGAGAAACTGTTTTCAAGGGAAACACACCATTGAAAAGAATGAGAGAGTTGGATACTTACTCCAAGAGGGCAGCATTCTGAGTGATCGTGGGCAGCGCTATCTTGATACTCTGTCCATTCATGGTACTGTTCTGTATGGTGGGCTTTGGTATATGCTCCAGGGCTACAATCAAATCATAATCAATTATAATAAATGCAATTTCTGAACTTCAAATCCTGCCACACAGAATATATTATCTTCTAAATTGTTTTAAAAATGTGTGATCAAATAGATTACAATATCAATTTACACACACACACAAAAAAATGAAGTAAACTTGAATTCAGAAATTATTTTCAAATTGTGAATGTTGAATTATTAGATTTATAGGATTATCCAACGATAATAATGATATTTTTGCTTGTTAAGACACAACACACAATATTTTATGTCAAAGACAATTTAGAAATTCAGTCCCAAACACTTATTTCCTCTTTGAGAAGGTATAAATGCTCACTCTTAACATTATTAACTCACATCAAAGAAATGTAATTAGCTAATGGGGGTGTAGCATGACGAGACTATGTGTCTTTCCCGTGGCTTGTCAAGGGGCCAATCGGGTATAATACGAGTACGGATGACGCGACCGCAGTATTCACAAGCTAAAACATACATGAAACCGAATCGTGAGGAGAAGTTTGGTCTGTTTCGCGAAAGCCAGCGTGTGGACCGTTAATCAAGTCCATTCGTTTACGTGCAGTTGTCATGCTACCCCCCCCCCCCCCCTTTAACAAAAGCGCAGTTTACACAAGGTCAACTCTACATTAAAGTAACAGTTATTCCATGGAGACAAAAGTCCCCTACGCACCTTGTATTCTTGTCCTGACGAGGATGCTAGCCGGCGGTCCCCTGATGGCCTCCGTCCTGGCCGTGATGTTGAATTCATACTCCATGTTAGGCTTGAAGAGCTGGCCACTCAAGGAGACACGTTGCTCCGAGGCAAGGATCTCAATCTCTCCGCCGCCGTCGTAATAGTCGGGGTACTCCCTCCTGAAGTCGTCGCTCGTATGGTACTTGATCTGGGAATGATGAAACACAATTGTTGAATTATTTTGGATACAAACATCAAAATCAATGAATACATAAGTCATTCAATGCCTGGTTATTTTGCTTTATATACTGATACCAGGAAGACATTGAAGGAAATAGCGACCACCTGTGTAGAAAGACCAACTGTCTATAAAAACCAAATTTTTTGTTTCCCTTGAACAGCGTACTAGAAAACCCCCGGCCCCCCCACTCAGGTTTCAAAATGACCGCATGCGTGTTGCCAAAATGTCCTTTTCGTAACAAAAGAAAAAGGTCGAGCCGTATTGACTTTACACACCGGACTTTTGCTGAAAAGGGGGGGTGCGGAAAAAGGCTCGTATACAAAAGAAAAAGGTCGAGCCGTATTGACTTTACACACCGGACTTTTGCTGAAAAGGGGGGGTCGGTTGGAACACGCATATGCGTACCCTAAATAACACTGAGTGGGGGGGCCGGGAGAAAACCTTATCTAAACGACCACCTGCCTTCAAAGACCACTTTTCTTGTCTCCCTTGAGTGGTCTTTATATACAGGTTTCACTTTAATATAATTTACATGGGATGGTAGAATTGTAGAGCTTTCTACTCACCACGTAGTCCTTGAGCCTGCCTGGGATATCACTGGGCTCGGACCAGACCAGATTGATGGTGTTATCAGACGCAATGTGGGCATCAAACGATCTGGGTTCCGACGGGGCTGGAAGACATGTAATGAGGGTAAAGAAGATGCAGAATAAGACAAATAAGACTAAACATCTAAATGTTAGCAAAGGTGAAAATAAATCTTCTGATCTAATTCAGAGAGAGAGAGAGAGAGAGAGACAGACAGATATGGCAAGATAGATAGAGAGAGAGAGCAAGACAGAGAGAGAGAGCGAGAGAGACAGACAGACACTGGAGTCATATATCCATAACACCATGAGTATTCAGCATTTTCTCAACTGCTCAATGCAATGTGTATTTCCCCTTCAGACTATTAACAATAAATTAAATTATATAAAGCATACAGCTCATGCAATTTTATAACAAAGATATGTATGCATTACTGAATTATATCTACAGTATGATTGATTTCATTTGGTCATCTAGTTATTCATATATCATAACTATGGCTAATACAACAATACCTGTCTAGCTATTCAAGGTCTATGGTTGATTCACCGCACCCTTACCTGATGTTCCTGTGAGACATGTGATGATCTGAGACAGGGGGGAATTCCCCTCGGGCGTGTCCAGCTTGACGGCCACGTAGTAGGTGGTCTCCTCCTGCAGACCCCGCAGCTCCAGCTTGGTGAACTCCCCCGCCGAGACAGGGCGCCCCCACGTGCTCACGTCTGTGTTGTCCGCGCTGTTGGTGCTGTAGACGAGGTAGTTGTAGCCGGGGCCTGAGCGTTGGATGTTGCTGGGGTGGCTCCATTTGACCTCGAGCTGGGTGCCGTGGGGTGCGGCACAGCGCAGGTCCAGAGGGGCACTTGCTGGAGCTGAATGGGGGGGGGGGGCGAGAATAAAAGAATAACGATTGGTATCTTACAGTCATGAACACAGCAATGTCATGTGCCCTTAAAATCTCTAACAGGTACAAGATGAAAGATAAAATTCATGTTGTCAGATTATTCTTTTTTTTAATGAAATAATATCATGATGAACAGCATGCTGTTTGTAATTCTTGATAATGAGCAGATGCAATTACACAAGGCTTTTGTATACAATGGACAGTGATAAAAATACAGATTATGCAAAAGATTTAATCAAATATTAAGAGGGCAATTCATCTCATGTATGATAATACAGCAATTGAAAATAAACTTTATATTTTCAAGGGTAGCCCACGGCATCGGACTACATTACTAAAGAAAGCAGTGGCAGTGCTTTGTACATGTATATCCCCTTTGCCTATCTTCTCGACTGACATGTAACATTTATCAGGCGAGGGGGAATGTTGACCACCAACCTCAGAAAGCAAACCAATCCTCACCTTCTCTTGGCGTCGTTGCGATATCCTTGGTACTGTAGGGACCCGGCCCGACGCTGGTGTGAGCCCTGACCTCCACGGAATAGGCCGTATTGGGGACCAGACTGGTCAGTACGATGTCCGTCTCCGTGGTCCGGTTGGTCAGCTCGGTGGGCATGGCCGAGGAGTAGTAGCGGATGGTGTACTTGAGGATGAGGCCGTTGCGCTCCTCCTCAAGGGGCGGGTCCCAGGAGACGCTGATGGAGCTGCTGGAGAGGGGCGAGGCTGTCACGTTCATCGGGGAGCCAGAGGGTGCTGGAAAGATCAAGAGGGTTTGGTTAGTAGTATTAAAGCATGGAGACTGCTAAAGGGCAATAGGGAGTACACGTAGGTCTTCTGAACAGGAGGGCATTATATGGCTGGAATGCTCCCCAGGGAGTGGAGATTGTGCACAATAAGTATGGGCAAGTATTGAATCCAATGACCGGGGTAATGATATATCTGTATAGGTATACAAAAGCAGAATATCATTATTATTATTATTATATACCATTCCACCTTTAAACTCCATTTAGAACCTGTGCTCAAGGGAAACACAGAGGGAAGTTTGATGTCTAATGGCATGTTTAGAACATGGACTTCCAAAGAGGGTTTTTTTTTTTTTAAACTGAAAACTTGTCATACTGTATGTACAGTATGTAATGTAAATGCTTTACTTAAACTACTATTAAAGGAAGATAAAAATCAATCCCACAACATAATAAATACAAAGCTATGCGACAAGTAATCACAAAATATTGTGTGACTCTTCAAATTTACAAAAGTTACAACAAAAATTCATGTAATGTTAGTATGTACATACTTCCTTCATGTGTTGTATAGTAGAAGATAGCTTCATTGCTGTTTCCCTCTTCATTGGATGCTGTCAGCTTAAACTCGTATCTGGTACCCAGTCCTAGAGGAAGCAAAGTCAAAACAGTCAGAAAAACTCAAAATTTATAACATATTTGAATACCATCAAAGGTACTCCGAGGTATGGTACAGATGGGCGACTGATTTTCACTGACTCGTCTATACAAAACATTAGATATTTCAAAGAATGCTAGCCTTAAAGCGGGACTGCACTACTTGCAGCTACTTGCGCCCTCTATACAGCCAACAATGCCTAAGCAGTACCCGTTGATTCCCCATGGTCCCCTTTTTCTTATGTCAAGTGAGTGCTGATTTGACGAGATAACCCCCTGCCAGTAACCATGCAGGGAGGTCTAATCTCAAACTGGCCAAACTAGTGCAGATAGGCTTTAAAATATGAATCTTTAAAAGTGGAGTTGGGGTCAAGAGAGGAAACAAAAGCATGAACATGAAATTTCCATTTTTTTAATACATTCTCTCAATCATAGGTAATCATGAATTTTGGAATGACGGTGAATTCTTTTCAACAGTATAAAAACCCTGAATGTTCAAAACCACAAATATGTGATGTCTGCCAATAATTTTGGTAGAAAATGTAAGTATATATATATATATATATATATATATATATATATCTATAGTTATTGAAGTAATAAGAACAGAAAGATTAATAAATATCAATATTAAGCACATTGTAAAAAGGAGTGCATATGTATTAATATGCTGTAGAATACATGTGATTTCAAGGAAGTGTCATTAAGTCAAGGCTGGCAAGAGAACTTACTGAGATCATCGAACGTGTAGGACTGGAACTCGCTCGGCCTGAGGTCCAAGTAGAGTGGACGTCCACTCTCTGGACCGTAGCTCAGCCTGTAGGTCACCAGGTCACCATGGGTTTCGACCGGTGGTGACCAGGTGGCCGTGTAGGTGTCGTCCAGATTGTTCTCCACGCGGAAGGCCACTGGGGTAGTGGGAACTGCAGAAAGATCACAAATTGACATGCAACTTATCAGTGTTTGAAGGAAAAAAAAGCTAGAAAGAGATATGAAGAGAATATAAAGGGGCATAGAAGGATATATATATATATATATATATAAAGGGAGTACAGGTGTACAAGCAGAAAATGTTTAAAGGCATCGTTTAACAATGAAAAATCTGAGATGCTTGGCCCTACCTGGTATCAGTCTCTGTGATATGGTGTAATATTGAAGCCCTAAAAAAAATTGCGCTTCAAAATTATCATGAAGTGCCTCAAAAAAGTAAAAAATCTTTGAGTGACAGGTTTTACCATACTCATTTTCCCCAATAGACTGTAGTGTTATAAAAACAGTTTTTGAAATTTTGATTTCCAATCATAAATATCTTGCTAATAGGATAGGCAATCGGTTTGTAAAAATCATGGGGTTCCTGACTAACCTGAAGGTTTATAATTATGATTACAGCATGAGCTAAATCCAGGATATGTTTCAGAATCTGAGACAAAAATACCCAATCCCTTTAAAAGAATATAGACAAGAGAGAAAGAAAGAAAGAGAGAAAAGATAAGAGAGAGAGTGAGAGAGAGAGATGGCACATTCATAATTCCAAGCCCTTTAAACCAATCACGCAGATGACAGAAACCTACCTTCTCCAGGAGTTTGCTGGATCTCGGTGGTGCTTCGAATGCCATCCCCACGGACAGTGAAAGCAGCTATCTCGATGGAATAGAACGTTTTGGGCAGGAGATCACTCAGTACAGCCACCTAGACATCAAATAGAGCCAAAGGGAATAGAATCTTGTAAAAAACATGTAAGCACATCTCTAAAAAATTACCCACATGACCTCAATACTTGCAGTGTAACAACAAGGCATCTTGTACATGAAAATGTGCAAACTTTGCCAATTTCAAGGCTACCCTTACAAAGCAGCAGTGTATTAACAAGGCCTCTTGTCAATAAAAATGTGCAGCAAACATTGTCTATTTCAAAGCTACCCTCGCATTGTGAAGCAGCAGTGTTTCTTGTCAATGAATATATGAAAGCATTTTTTTTTTTTCCAAAGCTCCCCTAAGAGCCCAAAGCAGCAGTATATTTTCATATTATCTCCAAACTTCCAGCTGAGAGTCTGAAGGATATTAACTCTGCTTTAAAGCCCCACTGCACTACTTACAGCTACTTGCCCCCTCTATACAGTTAATAAAGCCTAAGCGGTACCCGTTGATCACCCACGATGCCCTTTTTCTTATGTTAATTGAGAGCTGATATGATGAAAGAACCATCTATCAATGACCTTGCAGGGAGGTCTTATTGCTCCATGCCAAACTAGTGCAGAGGGGCTTTAAAGGACACACATTAATGCTTTTTGACTCCCAGCAGAAAGAGTATTGCTTGGTGCAAGATTAATTTTTCCTTTTTTTCTTGTATGTCTCAGCAGTGTGTAGGTGGCATGAAATAATGTTCTGATGGACAAACTCTGCTGCAATATTGTACGGCATACTTGATAGGCACCCACTGATACCAACGAAGCTCAATCATGCCTCTTCAAGCCATCTCACGACCAACTGTGACAGACACACATGTCTGACACACTCTAAAGAGAAAGAACAGCACACACCTAATACGAGAAAAATCACCACAGCAATCATTCATATCCTAGGATATGCACAGAATAACTAGTGATATTTTCACTGAATGACAGTATCGGAAAACAGAAACTAAAAATATGGGTGGAAAAAAGCTGGGTAATCAAGACATTAGTTATGAATGCATTTGTGCTTCATGCGATGTAGTTTAAAAAGTGAAGTCATGCAGTAATATGAGTGAAGGGTATGAATGGTGTATTAATACACATGCATAAATCAAATTGTCAGCTCTGGAAGACAACAAAAGTGGGAGGGAAAATCAGGGGTTAAAAAAGGAAGAAAAAAAAGGGGGGGGGGGATCCTCATCTCTGGTACTTCTTCTTGGCTAAATTGCTAACATTGACAGATAGATACCGGTAGTAAGCTTAGAGTAGATGGGGCTGGACAAACAAGGAAATAACTGAATGGGACCGACTTCTTGAGATTAAATAATTGAAAGCATATTGACAGAGATTAAATTGAAGGTTTGCAAGGAAATTTATTTTACCTTTTGGAAAACAAGATAGCGATAAATAAATCATTTGATCTATTGTAGACGTGATTTATTATACTGTACATAAATATATATCTATATCACGGGCCGAGATCTTGTCTTTAATTTTGGGGGAGTCATCTTCACACAAGCATCTCATTACTTTTACAAAAATTGATAAGGTCAACTTTTACAAAAAACTATGGGGTCAATTTTTAGTTTTTCAAAATGGATGCTACTTAAGCCTTTTGCCAAAAAGAAAATATCTTCAGTATGTAAGTTCATATAACAGTTATTACACTCTTTTAATCAAGAGCAGAACAAATTGAGCAGATATATTAAGTTGATCTCTTGAAATTTCAATTTATTTCACGATACTGTCATTCCTATTAAGGAGGATTTGGATCAATTAAAAGAAAGATTTCAAGTCAAATTAAAAAAAAATAATAAATCAATAAAGTGCATATAATAACATCTACCTATTTTGTTAAATATTAGTTCTGTAAAACCAAAGATGTTAGGATTAGTTATTAAACAATAGGGTTATAATGTTAGGTGTTAGTGCACTAATACCAAAAGCAACAGCTTATTTTGTTTGATCTTTCTGCATTTTTTCTTTAAATAATAAAAAACAAATGTTTTTGTTATGTCTCAAGTGATTGTGGGGAGTTGTGTCCTACATACTGCAAAATCAAAAGGACATAGTTTGATGAGAAACTTCAGCTGTGTGCAATCTTTAAAAAAAAAAAATGAGCTAATGCTGCAAGAGTAAATTCTGATTATTTTGTGCATTATTTTTTCGTTGCAAATGCAAGCTTTGGCACTTTCCAATTGCATATATTTAATGATTGAGCTTTGCAATTTATTAAGCCGAGTAATGAAAATAATCAAAAAGCAATAAACATCCATTTGTATTTACAATGCTAATTTAAAGCTGCCATTAAAAGTGTGCTTGAAATGATGTCTTTCTTTTTTTTCAAATTAGTTGTTCATTATTTGAAATAAAACAGGTCCTTGTGATAAAATACATGTTTAGTAATTTCTTTCTCATAAAAATTAGGGTAAAATATTGCACCACGATTGACTACAGGTGGGACTATTGTGTGATTGTGGGATTCATAGCTGTTGTGCAGGGTGGCATTTATATCACTGGTGCGTTTATATGCAACAAAGAAGGAGGAAAGGGTACCTACCCAGGAGCGCTCAAAATAGGCATTTTTGTAACGCTGTGATGAATGAACAGTACAGATCTGGTGGAGAGATTATCTGTTTGTCTGTTCAGATACCAGAGTGTCTTCATTGTATGTTTGTATTTGTGTGTTTGCCTGTAGGTCTAAATCTTCCTACTTTCTTGTCAGTCTAACTGTTTGTCGGTTGTACAATCCATCAGTCATTTATACCATTTGTCTGTCAGTTCTAACATTAACATGTATCAGATGTTACATCCATCTGGCATTTTTGCCATCCGTCTGACAGTTGCACCATCTGTCTGTCACTTGTGCCATTCTCCAGTCAGTTGCACCATTTGTATATCAATTATACTGTTAGTCTGTCATTTATTTAGTCTGTCAGTCATTCCATCACTCAGTTAGTTGTACCATCCGTCTGTCAGTTCTACCATCAGAATGTATCAGATTTTACATCCACATCCACCTGGCACTTGTGCCATCTGTCTGACAGTTGTACAGTCAGTCTGTCTGTTGTATTGTTTGTCTGTCAGTTGTACTGTTTGTCTGTCAGTTGTATTGTTTGTCTGTCAGTTGTACAGTTTGTCTGTCAGTTGTACCATTGTACATCAATTATACTGTTTGTCTGTCATTTATTTCATGTGTCAGTCATACTATCCCTCTGTCAGTTGTACCATCTGTCGGTAAACTGCACCATCTGTCTGTCCGTGGTATCCTCTGTCTGTCAGTTGTACAGTTTGTCTGTCAGTTGTACCGTTGTACATCAATTATACTGTTCGTCTGTCATTTATTTCATGTGTCAGTCATACTATCCCTCAGTCAGTTGTACCATCTGTTGGTCAACTGTACCATCCATCTGTCCATAGTATCCTACGTCTGTCAGTTGTACCATCAGTCTCTCAGTTGCACCATCAGTCTCCCAGTTGTACCATCAATCCGTCTGTCGTACCATCTATCTGTATCTGTTCATTCATCTTTACACATTCCCACCCAAAGAAGAAAGAGGGGGCAAGGTTTGGGGAAGGGCTAAGCAGCTGTTCCTTTTTTTAATTTTTTGTTTATAGATACAAAAATCTGTTAATACTTGTGGTAGTACGAGCTACTCATCTACAAGAAACTTTAATCAAGGGTGTCTGAACTCAAGACTATTACCTGATCCTCGATATCATCCTACATGCGGAAATGGAGAAAAAAAGTTAAAGAGGGAAGGAGGGGGGTTATTAATCAATTAGCACGTGTTAAGTAGTAATAAATATTGATATATACAGGACAATTGTAATAAATTTCATAATAAAAACACAATCATAAAATATACCAGTAAGTTAATTTACTATATATCTGTGAATAACATTTTTGGGAGTTAGAAATTGCAGTATATTATAACCAGACCCAAATACAGTCGTGTTCTTGTTGAGTATATGGTGCAAAGTATAATCAGATAAAATCAAATTGTTGATAGATACCATTTGGAATAAGTATTGAATATCAGTGTGCAAATAATAATATTTTGAACATGTAGTGCTGGTATATAGTTCTCTTGCTAAAGTGCAGAATACATAGGCTGCCTTAATCAAAATTGAAACCAAGTGGTGCAAGTAGAGAAAGTGATGCATACCAAAAAAAAATATCTACGATGAAACTCATAACCAACAAAATTAAAAAGAGATGTATATCTTTATCATTGCATTCAAATGGTTGCATGATTTGGTTCAACATTTTCCATCATTCTAAAGTGGGTATACTTTTGAAATGCAAAAAATCCATACACACAATGTCGCCTATGTGCATAAATGAGCGATTCATTGAAATGTCCCATGCTCGTTGTAAATAAAAGTGAAGTTGATAAGTGGACTTTGGATTGTTTGAGGAATGATTTCACACAAAGAACAAATCCAATTGCAATCAAAATGGCTGCCTGTTAGAAAATAAACATGATGAAAAAGCAAAAGATTACAGCCAAAGAAGAATGAGAAAAATGTATGAGAAAAATGATAAGAAATTAGATGTTTTTTTAAAACAGAACAAGGACAAACACAGTATGCAACCACATGGACAGTATACACGTATGAGAAACAATGACGCATAAAACAAAATGTGATGAGAGCGAAATGAAATCATGCATTTAGCCTTCATTTCCTAGAAAGAAACACATTAAGAAGAGACTTTTGAAGGTTGTCTTGTGTACCGCTTGATCTGTTTCAGGGACAGCTCAAATTCAGATTGATAACATACAAATAGAAGGTGCCTACTTCTTGGAAGGTGTAAGGAATAAGAAAGGTAGGAAGAGAGAGAAGGAATGAAAACTTACCAGAGAAGACACAGAAAATGAAGAACAGAGAGAGAGAGAGAGAGAGAGAGGGGGGGGGGGGGGGGACAAAGAAAGACACACAAAAATACGAGTGAGAGAGACAATGACAAAATTAAGACAGAGCTTGGTAAAGTGACAGTGACAGATGGTTAGAAAGAGGAATATAAGAGATAAAAAGAAAGAGACTAAGAAAAGGTATTTCTCTCATTTCCCAACATAAGAGAGAGATTTACACACAAGAACCAAAGGAACTACATGACTCATAAACTCCTGAAGTACTAGATGTCAAATTATGGGGATTTTATACAGAAATGGATGTTTTGGAAATTGGGAATAGGTGTTTGGAAAGAGGTTGGGTACACAGAATAACATTGTTACAACACACACAATGACAAGAGAACACAAATATACAACCAACGATCACCATGGTAATGAAATAAACAGTACAACCCTCTTCTCTCAAATGACGTAATAGCTTCTTGACAGGTGAATTGGATTGATTTTTTGGAATGTAAAACATTTTAGGGACATAGCAGTCTGTGGAATATGGGTGTACTTGATGCTAAAACAACGCAATTCCACTGTGTATTTGGTTTCCAATTTGTTACTTAAACTCAGGAATGTTTGTACGAACAACATGATCAGAAATGTTTTTTTTTTTTAAATGATCAGAAATGTAACGTATGAACAAAATGCAGTGTGCAGTAATTTTATATCATCATCAGTAATTTAGAATGTTTGATCTTGCTCTGAATTCTTGAAAAGGAACGTGCAGTTATTACTTTGTTGCAAGTTATATGAAATGACTATCAAAAAATTACCACCATTGGTGGTTTCCGCCTTGTTTTGGTAGGATTTGCATTGACCAATATAAGACTAATTAATAGCCGTAGAATTGGTTTTAAATGATTTGTTGTAGTATCAACCAAGATAATGCAAGTCTTCCATCCAGGCATAAAATGGAGCTGTTTGTTGGTGCTAGTGGAAGCCAAATGTCATCTGAGTGAAGGTCAGTAAGACATGGGTAGGAGAGGGAGGAAAAGGATCAGAAAGAAATGGACAGATGAGAGAATAAAGAGAGGAGGAGACAGAAGTGGAGGAAGAAGATGAGGGGAAGGAGAAAGTGTGAAGGAGGAAGAGAAGGAGGATGAGGAAGAGGAAGACGAAGAGGAGGAGGAAGAGGAAGAGGAAGAGGAAGAGGAAGAGGAAGAGGAAGAGGAAGAGGAAGAGGAAGAGGAAGAGGAAGAGGAAGAGGAAGAGGAGGAGGAGGAGGAGGAGAAGGAGGAGGAGGGGAAAGAGCAGGAGGGGAAGAAAGATGAGGAGGGGAAGAAGGATGAGGAGGAGTAGGGGAAGGAGGAGGAGGAGGACGAGAAAGAGGTGGTAGAGGAGGAGGAGGGGAAGAAGGAGGAGGGGAAGAAGGAGGAGGAGGAGAAAGAGGAGGAGGAGGAGGAGGAGGAGACAGAAGTGGAGGAAGAAGATGGGGAAAGGAGGAGGAAAAGGAGGAGGAGGGGGAGGAGGGAGAGGAGGAGACAGAAGTGGAGGAAGAAGATGGGGGAAAGGAGGAGGAAGGAAGAGGATGAGGGAGAGGAGGAGGAGGAGGAGGAGGAGGAGGAGAGGGAGAGGGAGAAAGAGGAGAGGGAGAAAGAGGAGGAGGAGAGGGAGAAAGAGGAGGACGACGACGACGAAGACGACGAGAAAGAGGTGGTGGAAAAGGAGGAGAGGAAGAAGGATGTGGGGGAGAGAGCTACTCACCCTTAGGTCTGGTTGGTTGATAAAGAGGACCTGCGGTGACCCGACAGGATCGCCTTCCTCCGTCACAGTCTGGTAATCGATGCGGTATCCGCGGATCTCGCCATTCTGGAGGTCTGGATCTGGAGCCTGCCACTGGACCCTGATCGTCGTTGAGTTGTGGACACGGACTCGGACCTTCCTGGGAGGACCCTCAGGTGCTACAAAGAATGGGATTCCAAAGAAAATAGTTCAGTACATGGAAGCAAAGCTCACAGCATCCATCCATAGGCTGACTTGGTAAAGGATTCAACCCAACCCAATGTTACCGTATTTACCAGCCGATTTCTTTATTAAAATTTAAAAACACATAGCCTTAACTCTGATATGTGGAAAGTTCCTGGCATGAATAATTGGCCTTTAATCCAGACAGTCATATGCTTAAAAGGCAAATCCTTGAATTACAGAACTAGTCTTATTTCAATAGATTAAAACTACTCTGCAAGCAGGTAATCCTCTATAAATCACAAGTATGGATGAATTCAGCAAAATGTTCCTTTTTATACTCTCTGCTTTTGTACTCAAAGACCAAAATGAACGGAGAACAAATTTATCCCATGGTCTCATTCTGTAAGAAGTAATTTTGTTCTGGTCTCGTGAATTTGAGAATTTCGATCTGTCTTGATATACGAGACTCTCTAACTATATAAGTTGGTCAGCCCATTCAGTCTATACATTCTTAACGTTATTATTTTGTAGTGGCTTACATGCATGACATGGTAATCTGACAAATCATGGCCTTTAAAAAAAAAATCTTCCAGCACATGGGTTAAAGGTACTATGTCCCTTTTGCAGCCAACCTCAAATTCTGTAGAACTTTGCAGGAATTATGAATATGTCATGTATCTCCTATCTATGAAATCTAAACGTGAGCAATGTCCTAGTATTCAAATTATGCAAGGAAACCTGGTTACTTGCTAGACTTCACTGTCAGACACTATTGAGTGACTGACTGGCTTTTTTTCTTCTTTGGTAATAACATACATGAAAGGAGTTGTAAAGGGTACATGAGCATTTGTCTACATCAATAACCTACTTCTTGTGATGGCCAAGATTAAACTGATTGAATCTTTGCCCAGCATAAAACGTATGACCATTCGGTACAATTGTCTGAAAATCAAGACTATTACTTTTGGGCTCTATAGCCCTTAAGTCGATTTGACAACTAATAGTAATTATTTTCCCACTTAAAGACATTTTCAAGCCCCACCTTTTTTTAGGGAATTTCTAAATAAGTATTATCTTTCAAATGCAGTTGGAATTGAACTTTTTCATTTTTTTGGCCTGCAAATGGGACATAGTACCTTTAAAAGGGAAAGATATTGTAATTATCACCAATGGAGTTTATACAGCCCATGTTATGGACTAGTCCAATTCCATGTAATATATTTTTCTTTGAAAAACTATGCTAGTAAATGAAAGTTCACAAAAACAGACAACATATTATAATTACATCCAAGATTGACAATACACTACTTCAGTTAAAAATTGATTTGAAAGATAACTATATATATATCATGCAGGTTGCTGTTAGGGGGTATGGAGGAGGATGTTAGTATTCATAACAGGATTTAGGGACCTGATATCAACATTTGAATTTTGTTAGATATTTTATAGAATTATCATACTGGATCAACAGAATACAATTCCATATTGTTCAAACAGGCATGGCTAAGGCTACTGTAAATGAAACATAGAAATCATTCATAATCCCTTTAGAGATGGGACAATGTCCGAAAAACATGCAACTTTTCATAATGGGGATGAACTGTATTATTCTTAGGCTCAAGGTTTAACAGGTTATATGGGTGATGGGTCCTTCACTTGGAGGGGGGGGGGGGGTTCTGCTCCTAGGAAAACAGATACATACCATCCTCCGCGGTACGGATGGATAAAGAATCGGAAGGCGGACCATCCCCGATGGCTGTGCACGCCGCCACTCTGATATCGTAGAGCGTGTACTTGCGCAGGGCTTCCAGGACGTACGACCTCACGTCCGCCTCCACCGGGACGTTCATCTCCGGGTTGTTTGTGCTCACCAGGGACATCTTGCGGTAGATGATCTTGTAGCCGGTGATGTCGCCGTTCTGGTCCTCCAGGGGAGGGGGGCTCCACCGCACCTCTATGCTGGTGGAGCTCAGCACCGTACCACTCACCTCCTGGGGCGGGGCACCAGGGGCTGGTAGGAAGGTATGGGGGTGATGGGATTGTGTTAGTACATCGAGATGATCAGAGATATGGTCACCAGTCAACATGTATCACCACAGCCTGAAGTGACACATACTTTAGGTTCACTGGGCTTCAAGATAGTAATCTGTCATAACCATTCTGTTCATCTTAGGTTTGATCTCAATCTGTTCTTCTCAGACTAACTTCATTTCACATAAACAAGAGACATAATACTACATACATGTACAACATTTTTTTACAAAAATCATTCATCAAATCTTTCATTATAAAGGACTGGCTTTACACATACACTGGAAATACAAAAAACAACACATATAATGTAGACAAGTTCAAATTTCACTTTAACACTTGGTATTCTGTTAGGATCAGTTATGATATGGTTTTACAAAAATAAAAATCAATTCCTGGTTTCACGTCTTACTTGTAGATGGAACCGACTTTATACATCGTGCATGCAGTGATAAAACTTCATAAAAAGAACATGTGATTCGGGTTAAAATGAAATGTAATGTCAAGTTATTAAATCATGTATGTAATGTGCAAAGTATGAGACGGACTTCAAATTCCATGGTCCGAAAAAGTTACGTATCTTATATTCAATAAAATGGATTTTATTTCTCCTAACATATGACTTTCTTCATACCTATTTCTAAAATATTTGTAATTGACCTCCTTCACCTAGAGCGTCTGAATTTCAATACCGAGCCTCCTTTTCTTTTTTTTTTGTCCATATATATACAAATTAAAAAATTACCCCCCAAAATTGTAAATATTTACAAAGCATTATGATCAAACGCAGTGTTGCACACTTTTTTTTTCCCACTTGGGGCCTAGATTTCCATTTTTAGAGTCTGTAACTCTGTATGCATATGCCCCTTCAAATTTCCAAATTGTTGCTGTCTGAAGTATTTGTGCGCCCATATGCACTGGAGCCCTGTTATGTGCAGAGCCAGTATACATACCCTCATCTATGTATGCAACTAAAAATCAAGGCATGTCTGTTGGACAATCTTTGCCCCCTCCCCTTCCCCTTCCACGGTGCTCACCTGATTGCTGCGTTCGGACGGTGATGACTGGACTGCTGGCGCCCTCGCCTGTCTCAGAGCGGGCAGCCAGGCGGATGTGGTAGAGGGTGTTGGGTCGGAGGTTGTCCAGGACGTAGTCGGTGGTGGGGGTGATGGTCTTGTGCATGTCATTGTCATTGGTGGAGACATTGTAGTAGAGCTCGTAGCGGATGATCTGGGGCTCCGTATCGCGCATCATCCACGTCAGACGGATCTGGGAGGCAGATATGGCCACGCCTTCAAACTGCTCTGGCTGGCTTGGCACTGGAGGAGAAGGTAAAGGGAATAATGTGAATTGATCAGGGGAAAAAATATTCAAAAAATTTCGGGGGGCTACTTTTTAAGCTTGCTTGCATGAAAATAACACTCTTAATTTGTTTGGCATTGAACTCTATGCAAATATTTTTTGGCTCTTTTATGACTTTCAGGGGCTCTTTTTGGCATCTAAGGGGCTACTTCGCCCGGGCCCCCGTGTATTTTTTCCCTGGAATTGATTGATGAGACTTCAAGATTCATTAAAGATAACACTTCATTTCAAGTACTTCATAAGATATGAATCATCATCAAATGCAAAATACAATTGATTGGATATTATGAAGTTTACATTTAGAGATCAATACAAAACTGAAAGCAACACTTATTAGTTTCTCTCAGCTTAAAAGTAGAAGAAGACATCTATCAAGTAATCTCTTTCCATCTATTTACCTTTCTGTCAAGGCATTTGTCTACTAATCAATCTAAATATCTGTTTTTTTTTTTCTTCTTCTAATCTACCAATCTATCTTTTTATCTATCAATGTATCTATCTGTTCTTCATCGAGCCATCCATCTATTCACTTTAAACTACCTGTCTTTCTGTGCATCAATCTCAATATATCTATCTATTCATTAATCTATCTACTGTCTATCTTCCTACTATAGATATATATATATATATATATATATATATATGTATCCATTAATCCATCCATCCAATAATAACTCTCCGCTACTCACCTCCTTGCTGTGTCTTGACTTGAATGGGTGACGAGGATGGTCCCTCTCCCTTAACGGTGAAGGCCGACACGCTGACCGAGTAGATCTGCATGGTCACCAGGTCACTGATGGTGGTCAAGGACCGGCTAGCGTCCACCGAGACGTGGAACCACGACTCGGGATCGCTGTTGGGGTTGGTGGTGTAGAAGACGTTGTACCCCTTGAGGACCCCGTTGGGCGTGGTGGGGGCGCTCCACTGGACGATGATGGTGCTGCCGCTCAGAGGGCGCGCCCGGACTTCTATGGGCGAAGAACCAGGCACTGCAAGAGAGAGAGAGAGAGAGAGTGAGAGAGTTATAGCATCGTTTAACAATGTTAAATATGAGATGCACGGCCCTACGTGTTATCAATGTCTGTGATATGGTATAATATTGAAGCCCGAAAAAAATTGTGCTTCAAAATGATCAAGAAGTGCCTCAAAAAAGTAAAAATCTTTGAGTGACCGGTTTTACCATACTCGTTTTCCCCAATACACTGTAGTGTTATGAAAACCCTTAGGCGAACGCAAAATTTGGTTTCGATTTCCAATCATAAATATCTTGATAATCGGACAGCAATCAGCTTGTAAAAGTCATGGGATTCCTGAATGACCTAAAGGTTTAGAATTATGATTGCAGCATGAGCTAAACCAAGGATTCTGTTTAAGGATCTGAGACAAAGTTACCGAATCCCTTTAAGGTGAGTTTGTGAGCATATAAAGTGCTGAAAGCAAGAAGGGCTTAAACTTCTGCCCTAGGGTACGGAAGATGAAAGCTGGTATGGACTTCTAGTAATTCTGCAGAATCTAATGCCCTACTTGTTCTCAGCAGATGAGATCAGGGTATGTCATTAGGAAAGACAAGTCACATGACATGTTTGAAGATATATACATGATTATGAGAATCTACATTTTTATTGCAATAGCATTAACAATCCATTTATTTTCCATGCAGACTATTACCAAATAAAGAAATTAATTTGGGCAATGAATCTTGGCTGATGAATTCCTGTATAGACAGAACTGGAACAGTTTTTTTTTTCCTTCAACTCGATCTTCATATTGTTACGACAATTTGAATGATCGATATTCTATTCTATAAATATAACAGGTAGCATCATGACAGGTTGAATGGTTTACATAACAGTCAGGGTCCATTGCAGAATGTGTTTAATATCGTTTATTATCTGTATAAAAATTATATACACTTGAAATATTGTATCAAGCCATATTATGTTCATGAAAATGTATGATGAAAAAAAGAAAAAAGATGCAGAAACCAATAAATCAAACCAAATCAAATCAAAAAGCATTACAATCAATTATAGGTTATAATGCACATTCAAACAAATTGTTCTTCCTGTCATCAGTCAACAAGCCTCAAGGTCTCGGGTGTATTCCAATAAACTTATAAAACATTATTGAGAAGTCGCATGAGAGATTTACTAGAACTTGCGATCAATCATGTGTCTTTGATAAATAGATGGGTCCCGGAAGCTATTCAATTCCACACCTGGATGAAGTCACTGATGTACTTAGTACTTAGCTTGGCTACTAAAGTAATATAGCTGAATTCATATTTTGATCACATACAGCGGCACTAATGTCCTTTGGCAAGGCATTAATCTACATTTGCCACTCTCCACCCAGGTGATAAATGGGTTTAGTGTTTAGGTGCAGCTCACATCCTCAATGTTGAGGACCCACTGTCAGAAGTTTGAAAGGACTCCTAGCTAGCTTTCATAACTGTTTATATACTACATATTGGAACCACAGACTGCCACATTTTGTCAGTAATACGGTACATATCACTGAACATGTGACAAAGTATACTACATTGGCCCTCTATTTTTTTGTATTGGTGCTGTTACACAACGAAAGCAAGTAAAGAGTTAGAATTAGGATAAATACTATGCCAAAAGATGCAACTGAATAGCAATGTTGGCAACATATTTCATATACACCCAAAACCAAGAAACCAAAATATTTTGGACTTCAGTATCGTATTAAATACAAGTTCAAAATCATTATAATATTCCGCTTTCATATAGCGCTTAATACAAATGTCTTTAAGCGCTTTACAGATATACTATTACCCCGGTCATTGGATTCAATACTTGCTTGCACACACTGTGTGCACAATCTCCACTCCCTGGGGAGCGTTATCGTCTCCTTACCATCTTCTCCTGTCATGGCAGTGACTTCATCGCTCGGGTTGCTCCTCCCGATTGAGTTGACCGCCAGTAGGCGGACGGCGTACTCCGTGTACGGCAGCAGGCCCTCTATGGTAAAGGACGTGTCCTGCGGGGAAGGTATCTCCATCTCGGTGAAGGAGCCGCCAGATCGGCTGCGCTTGTACTCCAGGACGTGGGAGGTGACCGTGTCGCTGGACAGGGTGCTCCACTCCACGGTCAGGGAGGAGGAGGTGTAGCCGGTCACCACGGGTGAGTTGGGTACGCTGGGGCGTGCTGGAAAGAAAGATTTAAACAATAAACAATAATAATAATAACAATTAGATCATTTTATATAGAGCGGTGAAGTGTGACCTCATCGAAAATCTATTTTTGAACTTTCTCAATTTTTTCTCTTCAGCTATAATTCGTGCAATAAAATGTTCCCGCAACTCACTTCTCACGGTGACTCTAGCCGAGGTGTCTATGGTCCCCAGCAAGCTCGTTGCCACACAGGTGTAGTTGGCCGACTCGTAGATGTCCCTCAGCTGCAGGACATTGCGCCCGATGGGGAGATCGTCCATGTCGTCCAGGTCCATACCAGCTTTCATCCACCGTACCCTAGGCATCGGGGAGCCGTAGGCAGCACAGGTCAGGTTGACGCTGCCTCCGGGTACCACCTCCTGGTTCTCAGGCAGGATGGTAAAGCGAGGCTCCACTTGACGATCTGAGGGTAGGACAAGAACGGTGATAAGTACAGTGTATCAAAGACAACAGGACACCTCTTAATGTAACTCAATGACACACAAATAAGAAAAAATAATAAGAAGAATATTGGTGGCTGAACTTACCTTTGACATAGACTTGAGCCTCCACGGAGTAGCGTGTTCCCAGAGAGTTCTTGGCGGCACACTCATAGCGACCCTGGTCAGACAGCTGAGCTCTGGAAAACTGAAGACCCGCTGGTAGTGGCAAAAGAAAGAGGAGGAACAAAACATGAAATTAGTTTCATTCATTGATTGTTTAAGATTTACAAAATACTTGCTCTACGACAAAACAGGAAGATACTGTTCCATATGTTTCTTTGGAATGAAGAAATAGGGAAAATATCAGGTGATGTGTTTTTTTCTTCACCTTATTGTTGTGATCTACAGGTTTCCATACTTTTCATCTGTGCATCTGTAAGTAATATTTTCTTCATGTTTCTGATGCATCACATTTCAAAATATATGTACCATGTTAAAATCACTGATTGAGAAGCAAATTAATCTCATTGACATGATTGAACTAAAAAATGGACCTAAATAAATGTCGCACAGAATGACTTTCACAATTACTGACAGGCCAATTATTCTATTTTGTTATTTTTTCTTTTTTCTTTACTGAGATATACAAATCCTTGGGAGTATTACTTCATCAAATTAAAATTTAAAAAAAAAAAAAAAAAAATCAGTATCAAATGAATCATAAGGCACTGCATATACACATGCAATAATCCTTTCATACCCACTCCAATACTTAACTAAATAAAATTCAAAAATAACTTCAGCACACACAGCACTAATACATTATACAATTGCTAAAAGCATAAGCCATATAATTCATTACAGTATTTTTGGTGAAATCGACAGCATGTTTTTTTCCAGCTGAAATGTTCCTCAAAACATTTTTCTTGCTACAATGAGTTTGTGTGGGCAGAGTGCAACTGACAAATGTATAATAGACTCATGATTTTGTTCATGCTAATGAGCTTTCTTTGAACAGAGCTAAGCACTCGCTAAACAAATGCTTAGTCACCAAATTTTAAGTTAACAGACAGATAGTCAGAAAAACTACTACAAGATCATGAAAAGCAGAAAAAACTAAACAAGGAAAATATGTTTTGAATACAGCCAAAGCCATGATGAAGAATAGGCAGTGAAGTTTTTATGTTCTTTGTAACATTTCACAGAAACCGTTGAGGCACTTCAACCAACGCATAAGCTTTCAAGACACTCATGCAGTCATCAAACCATGCCAATGAAACCGTATGACTTGGCATGCACAAAAAGGGATTTAGGGGTGATATGAAAAGGTGTACCGGTAAGAGCTTTTCATTGAACAAGAGAAGCATTTAAGAAATTCCCTGCCGAGAAATTAAACATGACTTCTGAGAGTTACTGCATCATGCCTAGTTGTCCTAATATCCAAATAATTGCCTGACCAAGTAAAAATTTCCCTAACATATCTAAAGTAGTTTTGCAGAAGCATTAGGGAAGTGCTCCTTAAACTCTTTGTAATTATCAAAATGGTATAGTCCTACATATTTGTCACGCTATCATCACTTTGTCTTAAGCTCCATATTAATATCAAGCCTCATTTTTAAATCTTTCATTTTCAAAATGATCATACACCTACTGTTCTAAGGTGGGCGGTATAATGACTGCTTGGTCTTAAAGCTCCATCTATATAAGAGCGTTCCTTCAAAAGGTTTGAACACTGAAATCCGACTTCTCATGGGAAATTACTTGAGGGACGACTCGAGGCATGCGAATAACTCATGTTGAATCGGAGACATCAACCAAAGCCACAGGTTCGACTCTGAGATTTAACTTTAATTAAGAATCTCTACAACACATTGAGGTATGGCAGACGGGAAGTTACTACCGAAACCTCAGAGGGGAAACTTCGGGCATATAACATAGAGAGGTTTGAGCAAGTCACGACCGAATTCATCTATAGCAAAGCAAAGAGCAACCTGGAGATGGACACTGGAGATCTAACGAGAAATGAATGGATGATCAGCGTAATCTGAGCCGCCTGATTTTCTCTTCGGCGGCGCATCCGTGCCGTAACACGAGTATCTGGAGCGTGCCGTCTTGCGGGCCGGGGAGACGAGAGAGATGCAATATCGTGGCAAAAGGGAGGCGAGATGCCGGTGCCTGTTTGGCGATTCTGGGCTAACATACTTGGAGTGAGATTGTCATATTTGTGTTTCATCATCGCGGGAGCAATGAGTCAGGGCTTGTATGGGATCATCTCCTGAGAGAGCCCGGCTTTGACTAGACCGGGTTCAATTTCATTAACAATTGCACCTGCATATCAATGACTTCTTCTTTATGATGTCTAACAAGATTTTTTTTTTTCTCTCGCAATATTGCAGAATGGGTTGGAAAGGAGATGAGATTCACTTGTTGCTAGGTAAGGGTACACGTTGCATGCCAAGATCTACTTCACGGGTGAACTGCAATCCAGTATTGCAAAATACAAGTGTAAGGTATCGTGCATTCAATCGTACCAGATTTGCCATACGGACACCTTGGTCTAGGATGTCATTTACAAAACTAAAAGTCATATTCAATTTTTTTTCTTCAAAAATCCGCCCAAATGGTTATGTTATACGAAGGAAGACTGCATGGGTGTGCTGACAATGACAGGGAGTTATTCTGAGACCACTCTTCAAGTTACAATAGCTATAACTTTAGTACTGCGAGGCAAATACTAATATTGCACAAGAATGTATAAATTTCCCTCACTGGATGTAATCATTTCTCTTGAAACTTCAGAGTTGTTTTCTTTCTAACTTGCTAAGACAAATGAATAAACAATTCCAGACTATTTTCACAAACCTCATCAAATTTTTGATCTGTACCTTTGTAAAGGTTTATGTTCTCCTTACCAATCTTACCACTAACAACTCCAACCAAATCACTTAGAATCTAGACTTATATGTGATGTATTTCTAGAGGACGTTTAGTGCAACTACAAGAAACAAGTGAAAAGTTGGGCTACATGTACTTGAAATGAAGTGTTGCACAGCATTTTATTTAAATGTGATTGTGATTCTAGAAGCAACACAAAATTTTGAATAGTACCTTTACGGTTTATGTTTTTCTTACCAGTCTTATTCAAACTATAACAACTCCTACCAAATCACTAATAATATAGACTTATATGTGATGTATTTCTAGAGGATGTTTAGTGCAACTACAAGAAACAAGTGAAAAGTTGGGCTACATGTACTTGAAATGAAGTGTTGCACAGCATTTTATTTAAACGTGATTGTGATTCTAGAAGCAACATTCAATGACTTTGACTCCAGAATAGCGAGCAACTTGCAACCATTTCTCACTGAAGTGTGATGAAACATTAGTGCAAGTGCATGTTTTAAGCTTTGGAAGAAAAAAATAGATTTCCAATAATAGATACAAAATTAAAATATGTACGAGGAATGTTGTGTTCCTCTATCAAGAATTAATGTTTTTTTTACAAACAAGCTCTTTTCTATTTACAGCTACATTTAAGGTAATATATGTAACCCATCTAATCGATATTTGGCCTTATGGAAGACCACCATTATTGGTGATAATGAGTCACCCGTCTAAATATCAGAAATAAATAAATAAATAAATATGAAGTGCTGCAGTATTATGCTTCGTCAAGTTGCAAGATCACCCATACCCTTTATCAACCCACTATATTGTAATTGAATTATCCCACTTTTTGTACGAAATAGTGATATTGTACCTTTACTTTATCAATTCTTGAAAAGGTGAAAGGGACACACTTTATATCGAACCAAGCACAGTGAACAAACCAAACAAAATATGAATGAAGAAGAAATGTAGTTCCCAGATGCAATTTTTCTAGGGCTATGTATATTGTAGGTATGGTATAACAGGGATTGTAATAGGTTTAGACAGGATAATGGGTAATAACTGCCTCAGCGCAAGAAGGAAGTATCTGACTAAATAACACATAACCATTATTGGCTAACACCCAGGCACAGCTAGCCACAGACCTTTTTTCTTTCTAGTTTGTGCGTTATAAGGCTGGGTAAACAAGTTTCCAGTATGGGTTTTTTTTTTTAAACATGGAATATGATATGATAATGGGATGGTGCTCTCGGAGCAGAAAGGCCTCATCTTCTCACGATGCAGGCTGGCGTACTTGCGACCTTTCTGCTCCAAGACGGGATGAAAGGAAGAGATGAGGATGGAGGCTGACCATACACATAGGTAAGGTATAGTTAAGGAAAGCGGGGATGCGTCCAACACCGTAATTACCTGGTAAAGAACGGTCATGGAGAAAGGCTGAATATGAGTTGGTAGTAGAAGTAGGACACGAATGGTGGTAGTAGGACGAGAAGTTGAGTAGTGGCAGTACGTTGTTGATACACATGCCATACACATTTGTAGGAGGTTGTAGATTATGTTTTGTTTGTGTTGTGGGTATCGATTAGAATGGGGAGGGGGAGACGGAGGGGAGGGAGAATGTGATGTGGTATAGTATTGGGTTGCAAGGGATGTAAAACATAGAAGGGAGAACAGGTAGGGTGGTAAATAAAAGAACAGATAACAAGTTTCTGTTAGTCAAGATATCTACATGTACATGTATACATATACAGGATAAATATTCCATACATACATGTAGAAGTTAACATCGATTCAATCTAATGTTAGGAATAGAACATACTGTTGGACTTGATTAAATATGAAACTAAAATGTGGCATGCAAACTATGGGAGAGCCTAATATAAATCGTTTAAAGACAATTTTATCCCTAACAATATTTTAAAAATAGGGGGGGGGGGGGACATGTTATCAAAATGGAAAATATCTTACAAGAGTTTATATATTAGATTTTTCAAAGGGTTATTGTGAAAGGGAGGATTATTCTACACAAATATTTTTCAATATAATAGAGAATATTGCAAATAGTCCTACAAATGGAGAAGCCCTCACTTCTATTTATGTTTTAAATATGATCACTAGATTCAAAACTATATTCTCTCAAGGGGGATTTGTATTAATGGGACAGTACTACCGAAAAGATACACATACATGTATACATTTATATATGTAAATACAATATATATGAACCCAAAATTATAATAGATTAAAGACAAGACTTAGAAAATATTTATATACATATGTCACACGTGTCATGCCTCTCTTTCCTTTACAATTGAATACCACAAAACGCAGCGAAATTAATTGAAATGCGCCTCAACCAATACTGCGGAACGGAATAAAGATACTATATACATGTAGATCTTTTGTACACTAAACTTTCAAACTGAAGAGGAAAAAAAGCCTTTCAATAATCGCTCATGCACAAAAGCAACATATTATTTATAAAGAGTATCACATCCTTATCAAACAAGCTAATAAAGAAAGTAATAAAAGTAGTTACAATTTATATAATATATCTAATACTTACACTGGTTACAAGAAAATATTATTTAACAAAAGGAATTATATCTGATTATCATAAAACCATGTTGCTTTGACAGTTTCCTTCAGAAATCTATGACTGCAAAAACCTTAAGTTCTTTGTAAAGTACTGTTACATGTATAAATTATATGGGTACATATATATATTACCTAGGTGCATGTATATATTATATAGTTTGGGGGTTCAGTTAGTCATTGACATATGAAAGATACACACAAGGACCAAGCTACCCAATGAAAATGTCAGTTAGTTTCTAATATATGAAATGTCTTATCTAACTCTCTAACACAGAATTTCTTCTTATTCTATTATCTAAATTATTTTCCAGCCAGCTAGTCAGAAATGATCTTTATCATGCATTTATACTAAAAAGATTGAGGCTTCTTAATATGGGATTATTTCTTGCATGATACTAAATTGTATATATTTCATGCATTGGAATAAGAATTAGAAATTAAAATGTAATCCTTTCTGTCTAATTTCCAGACGATTGTTCTTCTTTTAAAATCAGACAACATATATAGGGGAGTGCAAAGCTATTGCTAAACTGGTGCATATTAATGTAATTTACTATACATCTATATAGAAAGACCGTACAGAAGAAAACATAATTGCTATTAGCACAAGATCACCAATTATAGACTTATACCATCTATTAATTAGAGCTGCACAATTTGCAAACATTAAGCATTAATTGCGCCACTACAAATTCTGCCTGAGCCATAAATTAAGCAAAGACTTGCAGTGGGGATTTGCATGGGCATTTGCCTGAAAAACGCCAGTGTTAGTGAAGGCTTTGTCAAAGCTGCTATTAGTTTCTGAAACATTTCATTGGCTGATAAAAAAAGACACAGCCCGTGAGATTGAACCATATTCTTCCCAAATTACAAGTAGCTATTAAATGCCTATGCCCTTCTGATTTAAGAACAATTTTTAATCCCTGTGCTTTTCAGGCTCAAGACCATTTAGGGCACTTGGGACTGAAGATAAACTTCATTTCAAAAGAAGCCAAACTCGCATTCTACAAGAGAGCTTGTGGTGACTCTGGTCCAAGCACTACAGCAATAGCGGAGAAGCCCAATTCTTTCCTATAGGAAGCAATTTTTATTTATTTAAAAGAAGCCTCTGGTATCCCTAAAATCTCTTTTTAAGAATATTTTTTCATTTCATTAAAACGACTCATAATTCTTTTTCAGCTGCATAGTCTCATCACTGAATAATGAAATATTTTGTGCAAACGATTATCACATCTTCTTTTCTCTCTTCCTCTTCCATTCTTTAAAAATTCTTTAAACAAAATTATTGGTCACATATTACAACTTACAATCCGTCATGGAGATCCTGTCATTAGCTTCGATGGGTACAAATTCCTTGAACCACAGGATCTCAGGCTCAGGGTTGCCGGTGGCTCCGCAGTAGATGGTCGCCGGTCGGTTGTTCTCCACCACCATGTAACGTCGCGGGTTGGACGTGATCTCGGGGTAGCCCGCTGGAAGACTGTCAGCTGCAGAAATTAAATGAAGTAGAGAGAAAGGGAGGAGAAGAAAAAAAGCTATGGTTAATATTTAAAAAATGGAATTTTAAATCTTGGAAATATTACTCCAGCTAGGACTGAAGTGATGATGCTGAAACATTATTCTGTGAACAAAAATCATGTAGAGAAATATTGTTTGGATAATGAAAGATGAGCCCTTGTGAATTCCTCAAACTCTTCACTTACGTTACTATTATTATCATCATCATCATCATAATTATCCTCATCATAATCATAATCATTCCCCTCTTCTTCCTCCTCCTTCCCATCCTCTTCCATCTCCTCATTATCATCATCACTAACACCACTACAATGAAGAAGAACATCATCAACACCATACCATTACCATCATCATCCCCACCGTCATCATCATCATCATCATCATCATCCCACCACATCATTATCATCACCAGCACCAATACTACTTAAACCTTCTACCAAAACCATCTTCCTTCCATCATCTACCACCCTCTCCAGCTGGCAAGGTGAAAACCTGAGCAAATAATCACTAGAGTGGGACCAAGACAACAGAGGGCAAACAGAACAGAAGGCTCCTCGTTTTCCTCCAGTCCTCGTCAAACAGCAACGGCCACCAGGGAGAAGGATCGAGGGAGACCAGGACGGAAGGGAGAAATCAAATTTGGGAGATGATGCGATGGCACGATTCTCTGGAGTCTGGGGACCCAGGGAGAAGACTGGTGATATTATTTCAGGCTTCTGCTGATGGGAGAGGGATAACGAAGCTGAGAAAGAAAGCAGTTTGTCATCACTCTAGTTAAGGTTGCTTGGGTACGTGTAATGATGAAAGTACCAATGTTTGGCCATGCTCCTGAGGTGATCGATGGAGCTGATTAAACTATTACTTGCCTCAGGAATAAATGGTTTGAATGGTACGGTATGTCTTCATGTTTTCCATGCACATACATATATTTACCCAAAAGATTGAACATTAATCCTTGCAGGATTTACAATCACAACCAATTATAAAAAAATATGTTCCAAAGTCCACAATGTGAGCACCGAGGCTGATATGTGAACAGAATAATTTGAACAGAGCCTGATGAAGTCATAACAGTCTTCAAACAAAAATGAACAAATACATGAACTGAATATGAACCAAAAGCAAAGCTGGCTTGAATGTTTCATGGAATAGAGGAGAAGAAAGACCATGTACAAGACAGAGAACTTGACTTGAACTCCGTGAAGATTCACCTGCGATTTTTTGGATTATGACTCATACGCATCAAAAAGCTGTTATTTGCATCAAAGTGAAGAAATCCAATCGTAAGCACATAATTGGAAAGAGCTATATGTCCCAAAGGAAACCATACCTTGAAGATGAACTTCAAGGTAAGGGATAGATGATAATTAGATAACGACTGCCAAATCTCATCAGTCAGCCCACACGCTGATATTAGAGGGATTAAAGAAGTACCAACCATCAAGTTTATTAAAGTCAATATCCATTATTCACAGTGAATCTTTATTCCATATCATTGTGAATTCTTTTCAAGTAACTGCCATTAGTTGTTAAGGTGCAATGCAAAGAAAAAGCTAGTGGATGATTCAAGTGGCCATTACATGGTCTCAAGATTCCCAGCATATCATGAAAATGTTTTATTTATTTTAATCATTCATTAGAAACTGTTCATTTTCTAACAAATTCATTTGGCAGATGCTATATTTTCATATAAATAAACATTTGGTGATAACTGTGTTAGATTCTGTTAGAATCTACATTGATTAGGACTATATTACCATATATTATCTTTAAAGCCTATCTGCACTAGTTTCAGCAGAAGGGATTCGACCTCCCTGCGTGGTCACTGACAGGTGGTTATCTCATCAAATCAGCTTTCAATTAACATAAGAAAAAGGGACCATGGGAACCAACGGGTACCTCTTTGGCATTGTTGGCTATATAGAGGGCGCAAGTAGCTACAAGTAGTGCAGTCCCGCTTAAAGTTATCATAAAGGAGCAAGGATCATAGCTGCTAGGTTCAAGTATGGACAGTGCCCATGGAGAACCTTGAAGATGAACTCGGTATAAAGCCCAAGACGCTGATGATGAGCCGCTAGATACATTAGGGAGGAGAGTCCTCTTTAGCGATGCTCAATCTCTGACAGACACACCGGTGTTAAAGACATCCCAATCCAACTCAGACGCACCTCGCACCCAGCCATCTTGCAAGACTTCTCGCATAGTGAAAACTTGACTGATAATGTTAGGATTTTGACAATCAGGGGGGCGCGTTTCACAAAACTTGTCATCAGTGACAAATGACAGTTATTGTTATAAGCTACTGAAATCCTTGCTTGTGATTGGTTATCAGCAGATTTGTCACTGTTTTTTGTCATTTGTCATTGAAAAATGGCTTTGTGAAACAGGCCCCTGGTCATACCCAAGAAATCAATCATGTTGCCTTGAGGGGGGTTGACAAAAGAGATAGTTACTAGTATGGTATGTTTGTGTTTCTTACAATTTCCTTTTCCTCCCTCCAATATTCTCCTCTTTATCATATCTCTCATCTTCTCATTATCTTTCTGCCTTCACGTCCTCCTACTCGTTCATTTTATCTGATCAACAACATTTCAACAACATCCTCCTCGTACAGCCTCACCTACATTTATGGTGCTTAATAATGGGCATCATCACCGGCACCATCACCATCTTCTTCATCATCATCATCATTATCATCATCCCATCATCATCATCATCATCATCATCATCATCATCATCATCATCATCATCATCATCATCATCATCATCATCATCATCATCATCATCATCATCATCATCTTCATCATCATCATCTTCATCATCATCATCATCATCATCATCATCATCATCATCACCACCATCATCATCATCATCATCATCATCACCATCATCATTATCATCACCATCATCATTATCATCACCATCGCCATCATCCTCACCACCACCACCATCACCACAAGCAGGATCGACAACAACAACTCCAAAATATTCAAAAGCACACACATCCCGTTCCTCTCGATTCCTTGCAGTAAACCCCTGGGGCACCGTGGCTTTACGTATGTTCCTACTGGCTGTATCTTTTTATTGACGAAAAAGAGTAAACCTAGACAGATGAATTCAACCCAATCCAATTACCTTTTATCTAAACTTTACATGAACTTGGGGGGTGAATGATTGCTATCCACTAGTCTGCTTCCAAGCCCCTATGGAATATTTTTATCACAATCAGTCACTATCCCAATTCTCTTCCATTCACAATCCAAGTGTATGTCACATCTCGAGAGACAATTCACGTCTCTTTAGAAAGAAAAAAATCTATCATACAGCTTTTAACGGTTGGATACAAAGCCTGTGCAACATAAGATGGAGTCCATGGAAAATTCATGTTATACAAAAACCAAATCATATCAATTGGGCTGAGATTCAGATGAACGGTTATTGTCAATACTCTATACAAAAGATGAACCGAGCATAACTGAATAAAAATCACAGGTACTCTTTCAAAAATCTACAGTACACAATAATGTAACAGTTCTTCTCATTTTTCAAATCTTTCACTTCATTTGCACATCTAACCAAGAATGTATAATCTGTCTTTTATTAAACTCAAGAACATCCAGGGGCGAAATCTAGCGGAACAATATTTAGGGATGAGTTGGAGCAGGGAGATCTCCCTGGTTATGAGCAAGGGATTGTTGACATGAAATACAAGCTCAGGAATCATATCATAAATCATAATATACTACCTTGAATACCTTTCAATCTTAGCTTGGGAGTTATATATCTTCAGGTGCAGAGATAATTCAATCTGATTTGTGAGTATGTCTCATATGCCTTCAAATGGCATCAATTTGGCATTCTTGTTTACAAGATGTGCATTCTCTATGTCAATGGCCCACAAGAGCAAAAATATGTTGTTGTTTTTTTGTTTTTTTTTTTTTTGGGGGGGGGGATAACAGCCCAACAAGGAAGAAGTACAGAAAAAATACAGTAATCCACACTTTCTTTAGGCTTGGGTGGAAGGCTGAACGTGATGTGAGGGTAAATATCATGAATTCATACATGATCTTTTTGTAAACAAACACAGCCATGCGCTGATCTGACTGTAAATCATCCATAAAGTGCGTAGCATGAAGAGATATGGACTAGGACGGCTAACTAAACAAACGTTTGGGATTTGACTACGACTGAAGGAGGGTAGAGGTTGTATTTACAAAAGATTTGTCTTCTTTTATTCTGTTTGATATCACATGACATGTTGGGTGGGCGCATATAGAACCAATGTGAGGTATTCTTGGTTATCATGTCATCTGTCATGGATATTAACTTTGTTTTACAAACCAAAAGCCACAGTATCGATCATTTTCAGCCATACCCACGCTTTTTGAAAATCCACTTCTGTTCCCACACATTATGGGACACACAAGACTATTGAAATTGCCTTTTGTTGATATTTCAAAAGTAGTTACGATCATGTTCAACCTAATGTAGCATTAGAATAAATTTAAAACAAAACTTAGGTACAATAAATGGAAAGAAAAAGGGGGAATGATGGCCTAAACATTGTGGAGCGTGTGTGCAGCGCTTTGTAACTGCAAGGAAAAGGCGCTATATCAAATATATTTTGGCTTGGATTGGATTGGAATGTGGCAGTTTATAATATTCAAGGAAAAAATATATACTAAAAGCAACAGACACATATACTTTTAATATTACTATTTATCATTTTGGAAGGACAAAGGTCAGTAGTAGTTCATGATACACAAGTTAAACTATATACCACGAGCAAGTGCTAACAAAGAATACATTAATTTTCTTTCTTTATTTAATATACAGCCCTTTCATCCAGGGACGTCTTTGAACATTTGCCAATTTTTTGTGGAGTGCCATCAGGCAAAACACTACAGGCCAGACTAAACAGAAGATCAACATGGCCTTTCAACTCTTCACTCAGACCTAGATCGATCCT